AGAGAAAGAAGAAGCAAATGAAAGCTTATGCTGATGAGCGCAGACACACATCACAAAGCTCGATCAAAATTGGTGACCGTGTCCTTTTGAAACAGAATAGGGGTAACACGTTGACCCCGCCCTATGATCCACGACCATATGCAGTCGTTGGAATAAAAGGGAGCATGATCACTGTGAAGAGAGGAAAGGAAGTCAAATCCCGCAATTCTTCCCACTGTAAGGTACTCAAGTATGCTGGAAAGGAGGAGCACGACGATTTGGATTGGGACAAAGAACAACAACCGATGAGCAGGCGACCAACGAACCGCCATATTGAAGGTTCCTGGAGAAGGAAATATAGTCATGCAAGAGACGCACAGGGGACCGACAATCGCGCCATCGGAACCCCGGAGATCAGTACGAGCCAGAACGTCCACGTGGGAAACAATTTACAGAGACTTCAAGCCTCACTAAAGAAAAGGGAGGAGGTGTAGTGTCCAGGCCTCCAAGTTCACGCCCAAGGCCCCAGGAGACATTTACTCGAGTATTTATTATGCACGGTAAAGTGAGAACGGAGGTGATACAATCTAGGATAACGAACAACTAAAGGAGCTGTAAGCGAACTGTATAAGCGAACTCCAGAACGTTACAGGTCCGAGGCTATTAAGGTTTCAGCAAAGATGGTGTAAGGAAAGAACCAATTAATTGCTTTAGCCCTTGTCTAAACCAGGCTTTTGTGTGCGTTTTACTTACGTTGAATTGAAACAGTGTTATGTTTGAATGTTTCCCTTGCTGAATTTCCCATAAGGAAAATCTTCTGAAAGATACTGGAAGCAAATAAAAAAGAAAAGCAATTCTTAGTGGTTGTCAATTTTGTTCAATGTGGAAGTAAATAACAAGCCTTATTTACTCGGCGCGGCACGAACCATGTTCAATTAATAACTTGGAAAAAGATGACTGGCTGATATATATAAATAATCTTTGCAAAAATGAAGACGATGGAAATAGTTTTTGACAATACACTAAGGTGTCAGCTTGGTGTTCCGTTTGACTAAACAATATATCATCTTAATCAAGTTCTGGTGAAAACCAAGCCTGATACCGGAAGGAATCTGTTGTCCAAGGTTCATGTCAAACAAGCAACCTGTCATTGCATTGAATTTCAACTTCAAACAGATCACTGAACCTCCAGCATCTCCACACAACAAAATTCCCACATTTGACTTGGTTGAGCTGCACCTGAAAGATGGTATAAACTTACACTGTAATTCATGTTTCTGAGATGCACTGAACCAGACAGTTAGACTTAGGTAATGACAGGCAAATACGGAAGTGTTGCATCACTTTAGTTGTATTTAACCCTTTGCCTTCTTCGAACTTAAAAAAATTATAAGATTTCTCTGGCAAAATGTATTGGGTCTGGCTTTTGTACCGACACGACTATTTTAAATTATGGAAACAGCTGTTGAACTGTTATGCATTCGGCTGCTTTGAATTAGGCCCAATCCATCCTGAAGCATTTTCATTTGAATTCTTATACAATTTAATGCATTTTCAATTGAACCCCCTCGGACGAAAATGACAACGATTTACGAAAAAGGTTTTAAAAGAGGATCGTATTATTTTGACAAAGCATCGTTCAGAGAGTGGACATAGGTGAAAACGCTGGGTGTTGAAAATGATGACGACGAAGTTTCACAAACAGTTGTTTCCGTCGGCGGTGTCGGGAGTTTCTGTTCGGTTGATTGTCGAAAACGTTTAGGATAAGTGTGCAATTTCAAATGGAAACGCTTTAAGGTGGAAAAGTGAGTACAAAAAGAGAATGATAGAGTGTACGAAAATATTTTGCTTCGTTTTGTTAAGGCGAAAACGAATACTTTTAGAAAACGAAGCAGAGAAGCTGGCGTTTAGTTACCCTCAGTGCGGTTACCAGGACTTACCAGTAATCCATTGTTAATACACAGTAATCCAAACTACAGATCACGTACTGTTTGTCAAAACTAGTGGCAGCGCAGTCATAAAATGCTAAAAAGAAAAGCCAAATTAAAAGGAATATAAATGAATATTCCGTGTGATATTCCATGAAGATGTAAAGAGTTGTCAGATATGATCTCACTTGTTCCACGTCAAAACTCTTCGATTTCTGTTAATTTCAGTTCTCATCGTGTTCAGTCACCTTGGTGAAGCAACAGAATCGGCAAGAAAGGTAAAAGAGGACGTTTTAACAAGTTGTTCATGTCTTTCCTGTCCACCAAAATTGACTCTCTTAATTCATAGGGAGAGAGTTCAATTATTCAATTACTGTCAAAGAACTCAAGAGATTTAAACAGATTAGTTTGGTTTCATCAACTGAGTTGATAATGTGAATCGGCCTTCATCAAAAGAGCTAACGTTCATTCGCTCTGATGAAGGCTCGAAACATCAACTAAAGAATTTCTTTTTGTTGACAACTTCATATTATCAACTCAGTTGATAAAACCAGCACAGTTTCTTTAGAAACTTACGTCCTTAATTGATTTATACAGACCTATCTCGCTATCTGCCGTTGATAAAGCAAGCTTCTTGACATTTGGCAACACAACACAGTCTGTAATCCAAACATTTTTGCTGGCTTTGCCCTCGTGCCCTAACTAAAATAAAGAAAAAGATTACAGGAACACGGTATGCTCTGCCACACCTACTTCGCTTCACCTCTTCGAAATACCTCTTGGAGATTATGAAAGCTTTTTCCTCTGCCTACTGAAAACATTGCATACTTTGATACTTCTCGTAACTGAGAGTAATCCCCTAATAAAATATACGGCAGCTTTTCTCACCTTTTTCATTTTAGCTCGGGAAATTCAAAAAGGTAGTGAGTAAAGAATAAGGTGCAATTTAAATAACAGTCTCCAGTAGAGAGAATACTTTTCCCATACTTCACAGTGCTCAGGGTTTTTACTTACTTGCAGCATAACGCGTCACTTACTGACAGAGTTTTTTGAGGATGTAAATCCATGTTCCAGAAGTGCAATGTCCCTTCCTTGCTGACGGAAACGTATCTTCCCCCATTGCTGTCAGTTGGGTCATCAGTGCCATGTGACAATTTAGGAAGGTATGTTATCCGTGTGATTGTGTCGCGATGAGAACTAAGATCACAGTAAAGTAAAAAGACTGTCGAAATCAGCATGGATGGGTGGGTGGGTGAGTGGACCATTCCTCTTAGGGTGTGAGTAGTAGTTCCAGTGTACCGTGGAGTGCGTCAAGACAAGGAAAGGCTTACACTCGAAATGTCAGCTTTCCAAAATTCGCGTCGCCAGTTCATATGTTGTTCTCAAGTTTTAGTTGAAAATCAACCAAGCAATTCTTTGTGGGCAACGTTTTATAGAAAATTTAATGTTATTAGGCGAGAGTGAAATAGATGCCATTTGAATATCTTGAAACCATCTATATTCGCTTGAAGCAATCAACGCACTCTTTCATCGGCCATCCACTAAGGGGCAAAGGTAGCCTACACGATTCAAGCTTCTGTCTCGGATTAGTTTCAAAACAATAGTATTCAGAAATTATCGAGATTAAGTTTTTGTCGCTACATAACGCCACACTGGTAACTATGTTACCTTTTTAATTCGTAATAGCAAGATTACCTGGGAATTTCTCTGGCTGGGATCGGGAATTCCATCTGTAAAGATAAAAGGTTTCACTGAGCTGTCTGTACATTAGAGCAGTTGAAATCTTAAAGACTTTTAGGTTTTCGTTTACGATTCAATGAGACCCAGCTAGATGGAGAAGAATGAACGATCATCTTGCAAACAGTGCCGGAAATCGCACCTGCATGGTGTTTGGTAAATTATTCCATTTGTGCCCATGATTTCGATGATACAGTTCTACTTAATGCCATGAACAACATCGAAAAACAAATTTTTTACCAGATTCAAAGGTTGTGCGCTTTTAATAACGAGCCTTAGTGACTTCTTTACAATAGAGGTGCTGACGCGCCCAACCAGGGGAGAGATGGGGCAACTCACCTCTCTGTCTTCACTGCTCATCACATCTTTTAACTGAGTCTCCAACAACATGTAGGAACAAAACTCTTCCTTAAATGCAAAATAAAATCACATATGCTTGTCAGTGAGCTAATCTTTTGTGTTATTTTTCCCCTAAGATTTGTAATGTAAAATATTATATCTTACCCAATCTACTGTTCCATCGCAGTTAGCGTCAACTTTCATGAAGATTATAGCCAGCTGATTATCATCAGGCTACGAGTTAACAGAAAAACAAGACACTGCGCACTATGATTCATTTTTAACTGACACTATGATATAGGGCATAGGAAAAATATATGCTCACGAACAAACGACTAAATAATAACAAGCATCTCAAAAATCAGCTCTCTCTCTTTCTCTTACCACTTCACCTTTACCAGCCATAGTTTTGATCATCGCCATGCGAAACTCGTCCATATCCAGTCCTCCGCCGCCATCTTCATCGGCTTCCTAAAAAGAAATGATAACCTGAAACTTTTCATCCCTTGCGCAGCACTGGTTTCACACTTCACACTTTTGCGTGTTTCTATTCACTTTTGGTCCAGGTTTGAGGAAAAAGAGTGCGAGCAGCGCGAAAAATATGATCTTCCTTAAAAAAAAAACAAACAAACAAACAAAAAAAAAAACACTGTGATGTACAAACCTCGAATATCTTTTGCAACATTTCAAGATTTTCGTTGTTCATCTGATCTTCCAGTTTGACCATGGTTGGCTTGGTTGGTTTATGCTCGGTCTGATGAAAAAGAAAATGATGCGCCGTAAGCGAGATAACCTTGTAGATGCAACATAATTATTTAGAAAAAGCTCACTGTTTTTGGCACTCGTTCAGTGAAGTTTAGCCTTGTTATCCCGCTATTTTAGAATTTTTTTCATCTCAAAAACTCGACGTCCAGCCCAGTCGCCCACCTCTGTAAAAGTATAAAGTGAGTGGACCTAGATCTGAAATTCAATCTAATAGAGGCGATGAATCAGTGCAGCAGTTTTCGAAAAGAAGTTTTACAACTTGACTAAGTGCTTCTCAATATTTTTGTAGTAGTGAAATACAATCCTAGGCAAGAAAGTCACTCAGAAGAAAACTCGTTGCTTGTGTGTTAATCACAATGGCGAACACCAACTTCTGACTCATTATTCAGAAGCTTTCTGACAGAATTTAAAAGTTAAAGAAGTTTCAAATTTCAGGAAGCATGTTCTAGATCTGTTATACCAAAATAATCTTCACCTTGCTCGCAGTTCGGGAAGTTTTTTGTTGCTCCGTAGTATTGTTGTTCCGCTCTGCATCCTCTGAGCTGGAAGTCGAACCATCGTCATCGTCTGATAATTCCTCGTTATCTTCATCCTCCAAGGGTGAGAAAGTTAACGGATCATTTGCTTCCTCCTCGTCCATTTTGGTCGTCCACTTAATTTCTCTTGTATTTTATTCTATTCATCCACAACTATATAACATGCCAGTGACATCACAAAAGAAGGGACTTGCGAGAGCTCTCAGTAGTGCTCGCGCAATTGACTCATCTTAGTAATGGTAATTGAACTGAGTGGAGTGCAGTTTGGGCTGAAATGATACGCGTGATTTCAAAATCGAATGAGCGCGCAGCGCGAGTTTGATTTGAAATCACAAGTACGATTTCAGACCAAAATTGCACGACACGAGGTTCAATTACCACTTTATTACATCCATTTTGAAATCGCCCAAATACAGGACTTGGTCAATTCAAATATTTTATTGATACAGTACTGAGCTAGTTTACAAATAAAAAGTGGAACTGGAAATGCTTTTACACCTTATTTTGTATGTAAAACAGAAAGACTTTGACGTTATGTGTCAAAAACTCAGTCAAGAGTAAAATGATGCGATTAAGAGCAAAAAATGGTGCGATTCATGAATAAATCGCACAATTAGAGCCAATCAGATTACAGGGACCACCAGTGATTTCAAAATGGATGTAATAAATGGAAAAAATATATGATAAAGATTATTCTGAACATTTGTGGTACAATAATAACGTATGCGTAAAATGCTACTGTAACAGTAGTCGAGGAGAAGAAAATCATACAGCTATTCAGGAACTTGTTGTAGTCTCCTCTTTCCGCAGTATTATGACAGTTACACAAAACTAAAGATATACAAAGATAATTCACCACCCCAGCTATGCCTATCTCAAGCATCCTCTCAAAGTGATTATAGGCGTTATTAACATTACCTGCCAATCGGTTCAAAACCAGTCAGCATTGGCTGCTCAGTCCGTTCAAGGCACAGCAGAGGGCTCTGGGTACCAGAATGAACCAGACGAGGCCACCTTTTTGAGACAACCGGTACGTTGTGTAATTTGAGAAATGAGGGGAATTCTATTTTGTGGTAGATTTTTAAAAGGGGCCTGAAACGTTTCCTTGTGTTTAATAATTATAACAGATTTGTCAGGTAACGAGGGCTTCACTTCAAGTACTTTTGCCATTACAGAAACTGGTCGAGTGGTAGACGACGGGAAAAGAGAAACCATGTATAGTCATATTCCACCGAACGCCTTGACTTCTCCACAGATGGTGCGAACCAATTCAAGTTGGTTTCTGTTGTTGTTGATAGAAAAATTTAAGAATGATAAATTTAAAGCTTTACCTTGGCCAGTAGTATTGAGGTTACCACAATGAGCTTTTTAAGTTATTCACCGGCATGCTTGGATTGGAATTTTGTTTCAGGGAAATGAACAGTTTGTATTTCTGGCAACTTCTCCTGGTTTAGCTTCATCTTATGGACCAGCAAATCCAATGCCTTCAACAGCAATGCCGTTTCCAGGCCAAGGAGCTCCTCAACTAACCGGCATATCTGTAAGTAACAGTTACATGTTACGTGTACATGTTTAACCCTTTTCTGACTACAGCGTATATACCGGCATTTCACAATTAATGGTTCAGAATAATTCAATCAAATGATGACGATTAAACAAACAACCTAATTACTACAACAGCCAGTTCTTTACAGTCTTGTAGCTGATGGTGTAAAAGTTCAAGCTAAGGTACAAGTTTCTTAAAATTTCATAGGGGCAGAAAGTAATTGAACTTGTAATGACCATCTTTTTACACTTTGGAAAAATCTTTCCTCACTTTCCGTACAGCCATGTTTATTCATCGAGAAATGAAAGTAATAATAGCTATTAAAATAGATGGTGTTCTCCGTTGGTGCAGTGGATGTTAATTGTAATTAGAATTATCACTGGTCATGTTCAGTGTTCAGTTTCCCTCAGAAGGAGTTGCAAGTGAAGAGAAATAATTCTGGGTCGCATCCACAATGTTGTCTTTATTTTTTCCAGTCCTCAGCTGCATATGGTTGTGGTCCAGTTATAGGGGTACAGGTGCCCATGTGGACACATGTACCACAAACATCTCCTACAGTCATGGGAAATGTGATGCAGTACCCAACGCAGCCCTTGCAGTACCAAGCTTGCATCATGCCTCCTGTACAGCATACCAATCATGGAATGTGCTTCAATAATCAGCCATACAATCAAATGCAGCCATACAACATGCTACCACATCAGTACATTCCTGTGCCTAACAGAGGATTTAGACAACGTTTTTCTATGGGGCAACCACCAAATGTACCCCATGTAATGTCTCATGATTGTGTGCCAGTTGCTAACTCTGGGTTTTCTCACCCCGCTGGAGGGATGGTCCATCCTCAGTTCTTACCGCCTGACCCTCATGCAAGGGAGGCAATGTATGAGATGTCCATATTTCAACAGGCTCAGTATATTCCCCAGTATCCTACAACAACTCATCAACATCCACAGATATCAGCAGTTGTTCAGAGAAGACCTGGGGTTGTTAATCAGCAGGCATACCTAGAGGTACAAAAATCACTTCCAAACTCAGAACAGCAGGGAGGAGTATGTGCTGTTCATTTGCTACATGAAGAAGAGTCTGCTGGGATGCATAGACCTGTTAGATCCGATGGTAATTCCATTGCTGGTTTGTGTGAACAGGCTCCAGCTCCTCCACAACAGCACATATTGGACAATACAGATTCCATTCAATCTCCTCACCAGCACATGTTGGACTGTGTAGAATCTGTTCAGGTTCCATGCCAGCAAATAGTGGACAATTCAGAAACCATTCAGTCTCCACGACAGCACCTGTTGGAGAATGCAGAATCAGCTCAGTCTCCACGCCAGCATTTATTAGAGAGTACAGAATCCATTCAGTCTCCACATCAGGACATGTTGGACAGTTCTGAATCCATACAGGCAGATGCCACTGTTTCACCCAGCCAAATGACTTTAGTGCCCAGTCCATCATCTTCAGATGGTGTGCAAACAGTGTGCAGTAGCCCAGTACAGTCAGACAGTGAAGAAGGTGAACTGACAGTTGCAGAAGATGACCAAATTCCAACCAAGGACACAAGTGATGATATAACTCTCCATGACTCTCCAGTTGAAGTAAACAATGCAGATAATTTTGAAAGGTTGGAGCCTGAGCAGCCCTATGACAGTTCTTGTTTGAAACCAGAACAGTGCAACTTAATTGTTCAAACAAAACCATTGATGAAAGAAGAGAAGTATGGCCCTCAAAAGAGGGAAGTTTGTGGATCCTCCTCTATAAATCAGGGAGTGGAAGGTATCCCTCAAAATGCATTTGGTCACCACTTAACTCAGCCATGCATCTCAAGAGAAAGTAAGACCAGCACTACTCAAATGCATAACCATTACCACCGGTCAATTCGATCCCTTATTGACACACCTGTATATGACACTGCCCACAGTAGAGTGCTTAGTCAACTTTCACACCCTGATGCTACCTCAACACCATCTCATGATGGAAGCCCAGGCCGCCCTTTGACAACTCACTTCAGGCAACTGTTTAAACCTATTCCTCACAATACCTCAAAGAGTGCTATAAAGGAAGATGGAAGGAGTTAAGGAAAGAAATGAAGGGAACAGTTTTCTTTGAGTTGAATACTGTATTATATCAGTAGTGTACAACCTTTCGATTCTATTCATTACTAAACTCTTTGCATGGTTACTTGCAAGCTTAATCAGTGTTCAGTTTTTACAAAGGTTAGGGCTCATTTTTCCCTAAGTGTACACCAGTCTTGCCACAAGTTACTTTATTCATCTATTTTCATTAATTTAAAGGATTGGTTAAAATGATTGAATTTATGCAAGGGTAAGGGTAAAGGCTTGTTGCTGGACTTCTCTCTGTTTTTGGCAAAAATGCAACTAAAAGATATTGTAGTAACATCACCCCTGAATAGAACGCAAGTTCATTTCAGGTTACCTCTTTAGCATTTTTTAAGGGTTCCTTGACAATTTGTTAATGTCTATTGTACTCTAGAGTAGAGAGAGTAAAATTTCTTTCCCAGACAACTTTATCCCCTAGAAACAGCATTTAAATGAGTATCATGAAAACACATCCAATGTAATTGTAATAACGTAACAAGGAAAAAGATAATATTGCAAGAAGCCATTGAGAAATCAAAGTTAAAACAAGTAATCTGCCTTAAGTGCCAGTAAACAATAGTGACTAAGTTGCAATTGGTTGTAGCCTTGCATCTCTCGCAAGTAAACTTCTAACTTTTGACACTCAGTTAAAAAAAAAATGTTCTGGTCTCATGATTAGTGTGTGTGACTGTATTGTCAGATGGCTATAGGTCAAATGTAGGATACATTGAAGATACTGTGCTTTGTTTTGCAATAAAAGTTTGAGCCTTGCAAAAGCTTGCTGATCTGAAATAAAATTTGTCTTTTGTGGAGATGGTATAATTTTTTGATTGGTCTGTTTGTCTTGAGTGTGAAGTAGCAATTAGCTTAAACAACTGACGTGCAAATCTTTAACATTTAAGTAATTCTGATTGCTATTGATCATTTAACTCAGTTCACATGATTTAGGGATCCTTTGAGAAACCAACTTATGAATTGCCAAAAATTTCTACTCACTACCTCTCCAAACAGAAGACTGAGTTAAACAATACCACAAGAAAAAGAAAGCAGAGCAGCACCTTCTGAAAGAAAAAGGATAAGAGAACAGGGGGTTGTTTAATATCTGATCCACTGAAAGATCAAAAGCAACCAGGGATCACTTAGAAATGAAAATTGTTGTCGGTAAAACTTTTCTCTCATGTGAAAGGTTCATCATGTAATGAAGTGTGAAACAGCCTTATATGATGTTACTGTGAGTTGTAAAAGATAACACCACTCAACACATTCTTTGGATGTTTATTCACTTGACATCTACACAAATCTCTATCCTTGCTTGAAATGTTTAAAAAGAATACAACAATAGAGGTAAGACTGATGTTTGTACAAAATTAATTAGTTCATATCTCAGGCTTCCAGTCATGGGTGCTGTGGATACCATTTCCCCATCATTTACACTCATAGGCAAACCAATTCCTTAGAAAACAACTCTATCATCCAGACAGTCATGGCCACTTCCACTGGTCTGCAGGTGGAGGATTTTGTAGTGGTTCCCAGGGTTGCCAATCTTGCATCTTTTTAGCCAAAGAGAGCTCATCTTCTGCCTACAAGCAAAGGGAAATCTACAGAGTTACATGGGGACAAACTGGTACAAGCTGGTTCTGATCAAAATCAAGTTCCACATACAGGTTTACTTAAGGTGCTTCTAAGATTATGGAACAGTTGACCCTTCACAGACAGTCATCTTTTTGTCTGGCATCTTTACTGTTCATTTGCATTAAGTTATCTATGAACTGCTATCAGGAGTCACTTGATAATTTAAGAACCTTTTTTCACAGGATCAAGCTTAGACAATGAAACAAGTAAAGGATAATCATATTGCAGGATGGCTCATTGTTTATGTTTGTGTCTGTCAACAAATTATCACATTAATTCATGATGTAGCACAACAATTTTGTTGTCCAAGCAGACTGTTGATATGGTTATTATCCTATGGCAAAGACCACTGAAGTGTATCCCAACTAACAAAATGATCAGCAAATCATTGATCAATGAGCAATGTTGCTAAATTTGTGAACTTGCTCAAAATAATATCAGAAAGATGAAAAGTTAAAGAATGAAAAATACTGGGCTTGGATTGTGCAAATAAACATGTCGATATGGTCAAATGTGCATTACTTAGTACTACAAGTGCCTATGGACAAAAAAATGTCAAATGTTACACACCTAACATAGCATTTAGATGCATTTTCTCTTGTCCCCTAGGTGGCCATTATGAAGGGTTCCACTGTATAATGATTACAAGCATGTACAAAAATGTACCCACCTGTTGAATGACTTCTTCAATTTGTCCAGCTCCAAGTTTGTTCTCCAGTTGTGGCACATCACTCTCCTAAAGGTAAATGCAGTGACACAATTGGCTGGCCATAAAATAGTAATAAACTGCAGGAACACCTGCAGGAAGACATGCAGGAGTGAAGGGAGAAAGAAGTTATTGTAAAAAATAAAAATGCTCAATAAATGAAATTTGACCTGTGGAAGGGACAAAAAGTTCAGAAATGATCTTCACAAAACAAATGCAGTTTAACAAACTGCAGGAGAACAAGTCTGATAAAATTCAAACCTCAGCCTCCCACATGCCTGTTCCCACTAAGTGAATTTAATGAATGTTTTCTCTCTGTAAAGGAATCTTAATAAAAATAACATGCATGAAACAGACACCCAGTGGCCAATTGATCTTTAAAGATTGACTACATTATGGTTATTGTGAAAGCTCACGTTTATCAAGCTGCTTTTTTTGTGATTATTAGAATTCAGTTACATTGAGAATAACAAATTATCCCTTTTTGAATGTGACAACTGGCTTTAAACTATGCTACTCCTATTGTCAGTGACAAGGTACCTGTTCCACAATAAGTAGTCTTTGTTTAGTGATCTGCTCTGTGTGTATGCGGTACTGGGCACTTTTTGGCATGCTTCCCAACACCTGCAGTGTCTCCTTATACAACTTAGTGAGAGCCTTGAAAAAAAAGAAACAAAAGTAGAATTTGATTATAATTTGAATATATCAACAAAGTTGAAAAGGTAAATTGGCCACCGTTACGATTATAAAGGCTGACGTTTCGAGTGTTAATTAGCCCTTCGTTGGAGCGAAGCCCTTCGTCCGTTAGCTCTTCGTCATTTGCTCCGATGAAGGGCTAACGTTCGAAACGTCAGCTTTTATAATCATAACGGTGGCCAATTTACCATTTCAACTTTGTTTATATATTCAAATTATTTCGTTACCCCCACCGACGCAGCCCCAGACAGTTTCTTTAGAAACTATCAGCCTTAATTCATTAGAATTTGATTACACTGTCTACTGAACCAGACCAGGCTAACTGTGAGCACTGAATTTAACTAATTTTAATGTTGAAATTGGTAGTACCAATTACTACCCAATTTTCAACTTTTCCAATATTTTTACATAGATTACACACTCAACAGTTCAAGCCAGTTAAAAAAGTTTAAAATATACTAGGCAACATGAACATCTAGAAATTTTTAATTTTTGAGGATTTTTTTGGATTGTCCTTGTACTGAAGAAGAAAGGTCCTGACAAAAAATATCCTGCACAATTAACCACCAAAGACATTGATGACTTTGAGTCACATAAAACTCCTCTGAGGAAGTTCTGCATTTTGTAGCCTCTCTTACTGAAGGTATTAAGGTCAGATGTTCACATTTCATGCAAAACATCCATCAATGAGTCATTTACTGGGAAATGATGGCTCCCCTTACATTTTCCAAACATGGTTCAACATAATGCATTCATGAAAATTCATTTAGAATACAATGAAATGTATATTTGGGTATCGTAGCAAAACAGTGTCTTGTTGAACATTACAAGGGGGTGGGGAAAGGCTTGTTGTTGTGTCAGTTTCTTTGAATAGAAAGATATTGATGATGATGATGACTTTATATAAAGTTCTTTCACGAACAAAATGCTTTAACTCTACAAGTATTAAAATTTTTGTCCTGCAGCTTTAACAGTGATCACAGATGTCATTTAGGAGCAGGTGACTCGGCAACCTCGAACTGCTAAAGTATGCTCCCGCAAAACAAACGATAATTGCCATTCAACAAAATTGTAGAACTTCACAATTCTTACCTCCCTGGGTGCTTTGGAAACTGCCAAGCCAACCAGAGCCGTTGACTGAAAATTTAAGTAATTTCATAAGTTATGTACCATAAGCTCCAGCTATATTATGTTCAAGTCTTGATTTAATTATCTTTGAACTTCGTCAGTGGACATTTCGCAAACTCATCAGTAAATACATCCTCCAGGGTGTTCAAAACTTAATAGAGTCACATATTATTAGGTATGGTAGAACGTTAATAAACCCCCCAAAATGACCATTGCAGCACCTGGAACTGTTCTATATTTGCAAAAAGTCACTTACCCGTTTCACGTACCCAGACGCCATATTGGATTGCTGCAACTCCCGAAAAGGCAACTGGGAATATTGTTGCATCACCCATGCATCGTGGGATAGTTTCTAATTTGATACTTCCATGTGGAAGGGCCAACTAATAAGGAAATCATCTCCTGGGTTTTCCGTCTTTAACATTCGCAAATTCACCGATCCTAAATTATCATTGTTGCGAGCGCTCTATAGTTCTGATCTTAACGGTGCGTCGTCAATGGCCGCTGGAGCTGCCGAACAGCATAACTTTCCGAAAGAGGAGGAGAATATATTGAAACTTTGGGAAAAGTTGGACGCTTTTCAGTCGTGCTTGCGCCAATCAAAAGACAGACCAAGGTATGGAGTACAGACATTTTGTATCTGTTAAAGTAACCTAAGCTTTTCTTAATGAAAATAAGAATGAAGATTCTCTGGACGTGCCTCATGATTTTCCTTCCCCACCTGCCTCCCCCCTNACATTAATTATGCATTCCACTTCTTTGTCTTTCACGACAAAACTTTAAAAACAAAGTCTACCAATCTGAATGCATAGCTAATGTATGGGGTTATATGGTACTCTTGCCATTATTTCTGTAGTAGATTCAGCCATATTTTATAGTTTCAACATTGCACATGTTTGGTCTTGTAAGGAAACAATTGTATTCTTTTTGTAGACAACATGCATACACTACTAGCAAAATGGGATTCCTTCTTCCCCCCCTTGTTTGAACCTCTCATAATTTGCAAATAGCCATAGTGTATGTGTAGAGGTACTCTTGATAACAGAAGGATCTCAATATCTTGAACTGCAGTTTTCTTGAAACTCTCAGAACTTTTAGGACCAATTTTAACCTTTTGACTCCCACAAGTGAATAACATGTAACTTTTCTGTTTGATAATCAAACACTCTCCAGAAAGCAGTTCCTGAGAATACTCAAATTTCTAAGGCAGAAGTTGTTGCCTTGATCTAACACTAACTTCTTGATTACAATTAACAAGGAAAACTGCACCGCTGCTAGAGGGGAAAATTGTCGATCAGACCTCACTAGCACCCATTTTATCCCTGATTTTTCAAAGTATCTTCAGGTGTAAATCAGCTCTTTTCCCAAGCAGGTGTTAAACAAAGCAATTGCACTTTATTTCAAAACAAGTTGTCAAAGTTTTGGTTGTTTATTATCCAGGTACAGTTTTTATGATGGTCCCCCTTTTGCCACAGGCTTGCCTCATTATGGACACATTCTGGCTGGTACTATAAAGGTAAAATACCTGGCAAAAGGGACTTGTGCATGAATTTTTTTTATTTTGAGACAAAATAAACGATTTCTAGCATGTGAGCATAGAACATTGATAAGATGTGAAGTTAATTATCTGCTAGCAACCAGCCTTTAAATTCATGTTTTAGTACTCAATTACCAGTTACATTGGCAACCAGCTGGTTGCACATTTAGACCCAGATGGAGAATGCAAAATTAATGGTAACACTATACCCTGATGTTTAAAGAAGATTTATGCCCTTTTTGTTAATGTTACACTTGCTAATTAGAATTGTTACAAATTGTTACAATAACAGGACATAGTCACCAGATATGCTCATCAGTCTGGTTATCATGTTGAGAGACGATTTGGATGGGACTGTCACGGCCTTCCAGTGGTAAGGACTTAAGAATACAGGTAGACATAGATAAACTTTGAGGAAAAAAGGAGAACATTTCAAAGAAGATTGTCGTCCAATAATCATTAAATACTTACAATCAAGTTTTACAAGTAAACAGGAATATGTTTTGTTTATATCATTATTCCTTGTCTTTCAGGAGTATGAAATTGACCAGAAGTTGGGTATCAAGGTAAGAATAAATGAATCTCATTGGTTAAGTGCTAATGCTACTGTAGAATCATTATTCACAGAATTGAATATGAATATGAATATAGTTTATATCTGACCACTTGCAGCCCAGAGGCTGAATTACGGGTGCAGTTTAAGGTTGAGAACAGACATCAGTATATCAGGCGCCTCTGGCAGCCGCCTCAGTCTATCGATCTACCCTCCCACCCATCCCATCCCAGGGGAGGACATCCATCACACAGTAAATTATCACAAGATAACATAATAATAATAAATAGTAATATTAATAAATAATTATAATACATTTATATAGCATCTCTTTCCAGTGGTCCAAAAATGCTTCACAGAAGGGAAATTATAATTAAAAACTACAAATTAGTTATGTATAGGAAAATAAATTAGATTATCGTGTGTTATTCTTGTAGAAATAGTCCATGACTATGTCTGCATTTTAAATCTGGAGAAGTTGTTGGAAATAAGGTAATTTTATGATTTCATTTTGTTCCTAGAGTCCAGATGATGTGACAAAAATGGGAATAGCTAATTATAATAAAGAGTGTCGCCAAATTGTGATGCGTTACTCTAATGAATGGGAGGTGAGTACAATGAAAACTCTGTTCCTGCAGTTTTTGTACCCTGTTATGAATACGTTGGATAAAATTAAGAAGCCAACTTTTTTCAAGCAATGATATGATAGAAGGGTGGCTTAGTATTACAAGTGCCTGTGTTTTTGTTGATGTGTAATTTTTGATTGTCCACTCCAAGTAGTGAACAAATGTGATCACTGTTGATTAATAACTGTGTGAACTTTCAGTTTATAGTCAAGAGAATGGGACGTTGGATTGACTTTGACAACGACTATAAAACACTCTATCCTTGGTTTATGGAATCTGTTTGGTAGGTCTAATTTCATTTAATTAACAGTTATGTGTTCTCAAGGATGGAATTGGTTTTGCTTGTTACATTTAATTCATTAATAAGAATGAAAGCAGTCTAATTTTAGTACTTGTCAGGGGAGTTAAATTATGTGTACTGGTACCTCTGGTCAAGAGTTGTTAACCACTTAGAAGAACAATAAATGTATTGTAAATATTTGCTGTTATGTGCAATTTGCAATATATAGGTGTTTGTAATCATAGCTCAGTTTTATTAAGTGAGGGATTTTTTTTGATAGGTGGACATTTAAACGGGTGTATGAAAAAGGCTTGGTCTATAGGGGATTTAAGGTGTTGTATCATTTGTCTTCATGGCTCTGTTTATATGTGAATAAGTTCTTTTTAGGAGAAATTATTCATAAAGTGAAGAGAAGTACTTTTTTTATGAACAAATTGATGACTTGATATCAGTTATAAAATATGTAATGTAAACTTAAATTCTGTTATGATCCCAACACTGATTGTTGATTATCATGCTTTGTGTAGGTTATGCCATATTCCACAAGATGTAACACTCCATTGTCAAACTTTGAGTCAAATCAAAACTACAAGGAAACTATAGATCCATCAGGTGAGAATTCTTTTGAAGTTTTGTAAAGCTAATTATGAATATTTTTTTGTGAGTTTTGATTGAGGTACATTCACTGAACTTTCATCAGCAGTAATTACTCAGCAAAATTTTGTATCTCAAGATCAAGGAATTCTTTTATGTACCGTATTAAGCTTTGCTCTGCTTCACACAAACAAGCTCGGCAAGCCCCTTTTCTGGTTCTCTTATTAAGCCACGGACTGTTTGCAGTTTCTGTGAGGGTTTCATTAAGCTAATTCAGCTTCTTTTAAAACTTATTAATTAGTCAGTTATAAAGGAAATTACTATTTTAAAAGAAATACTCAATATATTAAAATTTGCTAAGTTCAACCTGTGATCTCTTTGTGATTAACGTTTGCCCATAACTGGTAATTGAATTGTGTGATGAAGTTTGCCAACTTGAGCTGCATGTCTCCTTACCATCCCAGCTTATTCTTGACTATTTTTTATTCTGTATTTAATTATGAGAAGCTAGAAAGAAATTTAGAGTCTCCATACACTTTTGTAACCCTAAAAGATACGTATCTGTCAAAGGTTTGCAAAATTGAATTTAAAAGCAAGCTTTTGACATGTATGCACATACCACTCAAAAGAGTAATCAGATTTTATGGGTTATGACCAGAACTAAAATGAGATGAACTCATTAGCACTGGTTTGTTCTTGTGTCAAGTTATTGTGGACTTCCCCTTGGATGAAGATTCTAATGTCAGCATGATTGCCTGGACAACAACACCTTGGACACTTCCCAGTAATCTTGCTCTTGTCGTAAACCCTGACATGGATTATGTTAAAGTCACAGGTAATGTAAATGTCAGCACAGTTTGTTGTGTAATGTAGCTCAGAGGACAAAATAATGCTTTCACATTAATGTCACCCTGGTTTTTTACTTCCCCAGAGTAATCAGTTTCTTCCTAGCTATGCCTGTGATTTATTTGTTGCTCTACACTTTTTTCCTTTATCATAATTGTTCAGGATTTCATTTCTAATACATGTACATATACATAATATTTTTTCCATGACTTGTAGATTTTGTTTATTCATAATTATATATAGTTCAATTCTGTGTGTGTGTGTGTACATGTGTGTGTGTGTGTGTCCCGACCCTAATATTGTAATTCATTCTGTGTAATTTAGCTTCCTAGCCTTGTTAACCTTCTAGTTATTTTGTGAAGCCAACACCCTAGTTTTAATTATATACAACACATCTAGTTTTAATTATTTTATTTGATGTTAATTTAATCTTCTCAAGAATAAGGGTGGATAAAGTTGTTGTTGTTGTTGTTGAATTGATCAATGGTTATCTTCTTTTTGTCATGGTAATCTTTTCACCTACTTGCTGTTCTTTATTCCTGCAGACAACACCACAAACAGAGTTTATATAATGATGGAAGCTAGACTTGAAGCTCTTTTCAAAAATCCAGAGGAGTATACAATTTTAGAAAGGTTTTTAATTTTTCTTGTCAGAACGTGTGATAGTGACATACTGTTCAAAATGCATGTGATTGTATACTTTCTACTCATAATGTATGATCTATAGTTGTCCAAATCCAAATTAAACTCATTTTGCAAAGTTGCAATATGTAAAGAAAATTTTAACACTGGGGATGTCCTTGTGGAAAAGTATAATTTTGCAATTTTTTGTTGAATTAATTCTCATGGCACTGAAGATTGTTGAGAACTGAAATAAAAAAGTTTTCAAGGAGAATGAGATATTAAATGTTTCTCTCCTTAAGACACTATAGAATTGTAATGTAATTGATGTCTTTCAAGTTGTTATAATAATATTTTTATTTTTCTGTTAATAGATTTAAAGGATCTACCTTGGAAGGAAAGACTTACAAACCTCTCTTTACATATTTTCAAGATGTAAGCAAATTGTTTAGACTCTTGGCTAACTTTCCATATATGTTTACAGTCCGGCTGTTACATTTTTTCTCCTCTTGTTACAGCAGTTATTAATAAACCCTTACCCTTAAACCTTTTCTGGAATTGTTAAAAAGAGTACTTAACTGTTAGATTTAATGGATCTAATTTTCTGTGTAAAAGTAAAGGTTGAATCCAAAGTTTGATTTCCTTACATAGATATCATTGCTATAGCTAGGCTATGGCTAGGCTATGTGCTTGAATAATTTTAAATGGCTAGAAAAGTGGCAACAACTTTTATGCTGAAAACTGCATAGTTATGCTTCCTGAATATCCTTTTCTAGTTTGTAAGTGTTACTTTGCAACTTCTTTTCAGAGCCAGTTATTACATTGTTACACGCATTTAAAAAATAGTGTTCCTTGTTACAGTTTTTTTTTTTTTTTCATTTATTATTTTGATAATTTCTTTTAGCTCAAGGGTAGTGGAGCTTTCAGGGTGTTAGCAGATGGATATGTAACAGGTGAAAGTGGCACTGGAGTGGTCCATTCTGCACCAGCCTTTGGCGAGGTTAGTCCTATTACTGTTAGTAATAATTATGATCATTTTATGGTAAATTCTACAGTGTAAGGCTCTCATGGTGAAATCTATATGGAATGATATTTTAATTACCATACAGTAAAAAAATTGGTTGGATTTGATTCAATTTTTCCTTGAGTATCCTAAAATGATAGGCTACAACAGATAACGATCAAATCAAATCAAGTCAAATTAATTTTTATCTGAATCAGTTGACGAATTATTAAAAACTAATGCACACACACACACACAGTCAGATGATTTCATGTACCTGTAGATAATAAATATATCAAATTAAAAAACAAATTAAAGTGATGCTTTTGTTATTATTTTTTCAAAACAAAATCCAGTGGTATCACCCATTTGTGAATAGTATACTCAAATTAATGTAGGGTTGTAACTTGACAGCTTCATAGGTAAAGCAAGGATTATGAGATTTACTTGACTTTGAACTGTATCATGAAAGCAGCAATTTTTTTTGTGAAAACCAGTGTTGCTGTTTTAACAGATTAAAATAGACTATAGTTAATAATCTGCATGTAGTTAATTGAACATTTTCGGCAGTTTGTGTATTAGTCTTTGACATCTTGAAAGCTGTCGAACGTAACTGTACATTTTTACAAAAAGAAAGTGAATGTTGGAAAGCTAATTACAAAAAAAAACTATTACTGTAACAGTAACAGTTTGAGTTGTGAGATTTCACCCTCTCACTGGACCTGTTTTATTGTAGGATGATTACAGAGTCTGCTTGGCAAGTGGAATTGTAAAGAAAGGTGGGAAACTTCCTTGTCCTGTGGATGCCAGTGGAAAATTCACAAGTGAAGTTTCAGACTTCCAAGGGCAGCATGTAAAGGTACACATTCAATCCAACACAGATAAATAGAATAAAAATCTTGGCAGAGTAGGGTATAGAGTAGTTGTAGCTCTCATTTGCTGCTGCAAAGGTTAAATTAATCCAGGGTTCAACATCTCTGCTAGCCCGGTAGCCCGAGGTTAGTAAAAATTTGGTCGGGCTAGTAAAAAACCACCTTTAACAGCCCACTGGCTATTACTTGAAGTTCACAGTTGATTAAAAAAACAAGAAAGTTTAAATTGTAATGATAATACCAATGAAGAAGGCCTAAAGCCTTTTATCTTCTGGAGTCTTTTTGTCTTGTTTGTCGATTGTACAACAGTCTTCTCCAGTCTCCTCCCTACCAATGTTGCGATGACTTGCACATCGCCTCGCACGATCACCTCGCACAATCACCTCGCACAATCACCTCGCAAGATTGCCTCGCACAATCGCCTTGCATGTTCACCTCGCACTTGAAAATTTACTTAGCTTTTTCCTTAAAAAACACATTGTGCTATCACAATGAAAGAAAATGCCCTTCTTTATCATTTTAAAAGACCTTGCCAATAAGTTTAGAGCAAGGTTTGTGTGAATGGGGTTGAAATAGACCACGAGGGAAATCGATCCGGGCTACCAAGTTGTGTTTTGGGCTGGTAAATTTTAGAAATCACCATCCTGGTGGCTAGTAATGCGATAGCCATGTGTCGATTTCTGTTACTCCTAACTTACATAAAACAGATGGGGCTTTAAAAGCAAAAGATCCTGTGTAGGTCTGACCTGGATATGTTGTGGTTCCAATTATTCAAAACCAGTGATTTCTTTCCTAAATTTTTATTGTAATTTCATTTAGTGGTATGCTAAATACAAGATTGATTAAGAAAAATAAGAAGCAAACATGATTGAAATTTGTTGTTCAAAGGAGAAATCTGAACCACCAATGAAATGTCACAAACAATATTTTTCATGTCCATTTTATCCAAAGATAAAACAAAGACAAAGTGAAAAATACTTTATCACCAAACGTTAAAATGTTGAACTTGTATGACAAAATTTGTTTTTGGCAGGATGCTGATAGGTTCATTATGAAGTGGCTCAAGAAGCAGCAAAGACTGGTTCATCAAAGCACTCATAAACATAGCTATCCATTCTGCTGGAGGTAAGAGTGATAACATAATAAATGTATACAAGCGAGATGCATGTCTCGTATTGCTGGTGTAACAGAGTCAGGCAACAATGAAGAACGTGCTCTTGAATTACAAGTTTATAGACTGCACATTAACAGGTTGTACATGTATGAACTGAGGCTATTTTAGAAGTGTGAAGGTCTTGTTTGAACATAACAACCAGTTTGTAAGCATTTGTTGTCTCTAATTAGAAGGTATATGTTCTTGCATCACAAGAACAACAGTTTTTTTTTTTTATTATGGCTTGCATTAGGTCTGATACACCATTGATTTACAAGGCTGTTCCTAGCTGGTTTATCCAAGTTGAATCTTTTGTTGACAAGCTTTTGGCCAATAACAAGCAGTCATACTGGTAAGTGCTACAGATCCTCACTAGATAATACAAAGTAAGAACAACAAATCTGGTCTTTCTTGTGGGTCAAAATTTGTTGGGTTTTTAATTCCTCTTTCAGTATATAATAAGAAATGAAAGACAAATCAAACTATCATCATGATAGAATTTGAAATGAAGGTATATCACAGAGTAATGTGCATTTCAAAACCAACCACAAGTACTACAGTTTTGTGGCTAAAAGAAGCACTTATCAGCATGAAAGAATGATCTGATCAGTATTCATGAATGTCCAGTATCTTAAATGTTAAACTTAAGAGCTGTTTGAATTGGAGCTTGTGCCATTTCACACCCACATGCAATTTATCATCATCTCTGATAAGGGTTCCAGAATTTGTACAGGAAAAACGCTTCCACAACTGGCTTGAAAATGCTTATGACTGGAATATATCCAGAAACCGTTACTGGGGCACACCAATTCCTCTGTGGGTCAGTGATGATTATCAAGAGGTATGTGAAACTCTTGGTTTTTCCTCTCAAGGCAATGATATGAACCTTGTATATGGTGTAGTTAGTTGTCTAGCTTAGGGAGTTGAGACTTGCACCATAAACTGTATGCCTTCAGGTCCACAGCTGTTTGCACTAATTGTTGAGTCAGTGCCTCCTTTTTCTCAATAATGCATGGACTAATCTTATCAAGGGCAATGGTTAACACTTTTTGAATATCATACAACAGGTTGTTTGTGTTGGATCCATTGATGAACTGGAGCAGTTGTCAGGAGTCAGAGTTAGTGATCTTCACAGAGAAAGGTATTACTTATTGCAGCTTTGTAAAGCTGATTAAAATCACTGTCAGTAGAGTAATTAAAAAAAAAATTGACAGTATGTTTTCTATTTTATCCTTTTCCTTTTTCCCAAAAAATTGAGTTTCAAAATTCTTTGTCAGTGTGGATGACATCACAATTCCCTCCAAAACAAACAGAGGAGTTCTAAAAAGAGTCCCTGAAGTGTTTGACTGCTGGTTCGAAAGTGGAAGGTATCCTGTACATGTATATAATTGTAATTTAGCTGTTGTGATTAGTTTTAATGAGAGCAATTGTTTTTTGGCCTCTTTTGTCATGGACTGATGCTGTATGAAGAAATCTAGTTTTGCAGTGATGTTGCCAAATGAAAAATCAGTTGAGTGGTTACTTAAAGCAGTGAAACCTCCCCTCATTAACAAAAGTTACATGTGAACTGTGTTAGTCATCTAGCTTTAATATGTTTTTCCAGTATGCCTTATGCACAAGTTCATTACCCATTTGAAAATAAAGAGGCATTTGAAGCATCATTCCCGGCTGATTTCATTGCTGAAGGAATTGACCAGACAAGAGGATGGTGAGTGGCTTTTTTTCATTTATTTTAGTTCAATTTTTCTTACGGTATCAACTTTTTTTATTTTTAATTATTAACTTAATGTTTCACTTCACAGGTTTTATACTCTTCTGGTGATTTCAACAGCTTTGTTTGATCAACCTCCTTTCAAGAATCTCATTGTGAATGGACTGGTTCTTGCTGCGTATGCCATTTAGCTTTTCTTCGTTTTTCTGTGACTTTCTTCTTTAATCATTTTGTATTTTCCCCAGTCCTGAGTTTTAATAGTTGTGAACATTTGTCTTTAGAGATGGAGCGAAGATGAGTAAGAGAAAGAAGAACTACCCTGATCCAATGGAGATTGTCAACAAATATGGAGCAGATGCTCTAAGGTTTGTGGCTGACATTAACAAATGAAAGGTTTTGTGAATTTAGTTATTAACCCTTCTTTGTGTTGCTGTTACTGGGATGAACATTGGGAGGTTTTGGTTTATTGTGCTGTGAGGGTCTGTGAGGTTACTCTGAGTTATAAAGTTTGTTGGATTCTACCTGACTTTAGGGGCAATAGATGGATCCTCATCAAGCCTCAGCAAATCATCAAATATGTTGTATTAGATCTTATTTACCCAAGAAAACCTTTTTACAGATTTGTTTTATTGGTACATTACTATGATAGTTCTGTACTAGTTCCACAGACTACTTTTAATTATTAATGATTGAATGAAGCTTAATGTGTAATTTTAAGTTATTGTTTTTTAGATTGTATCTCATCAATTCACCAGTGGTGAGAGCAGAAACTCTCAAGTTCCAGGAGAAAGGAGTGAAGGATATCATTAAAGACGTGTTCCTTCCATGGTATAATGCTCACCGATTTCTGTTGCAGAATATTCAGCAGATGGAAAGGGTTAGGCATCATTTTGTATTCAGAGGCCTAAGTGAAAATTGCTTTGGTGGTTTATCTTACCCAAATGAAGTTTTGTTGTTGTTGATTAAAAAGAGATTATTGTAGCTGAAATAATATATCAAGTACCTTTAACATTTAAATCTTTGGATGAAGTAACAGCATATCATCATCATCATAAAAGTTACCAACATTTGCTATCTTTTAAAAATTTTACATTAAATTTTACAGGTTACTGATAATTAAGAAACGTTTGTGGTCTGCTTTCCAAACAGCTACAAATTTTATTGTAATTTGTGAGGTTAAAATTAAAATCATACGATTAATAATTAAATGATAATTTTGTATTTTTAAACAGGAAGGAAGAAAGTTTGTTTATGATGAAGATGTTCTGTTGAATTTGGGCAACACACTTGATCACTGGATCATTTCCTTTACTCAAAGTTTGGTGTTGTTTGTCCATCAAGAAATGGCAGGTAAGTCACTCTTGACTCTAAGAGCAGAAAAAAGCTGGCTGATCAAGATCATGATGATATTATTAATGACAGAAATGTTTTCACCTTCATAGCACATTAATTTTCTCTTGTTTATCACTTAAATATTAAACAGACTCATGGCCATCTTAGTTTGATTGTAATTCACTGGTTTGTTCTGTGATAATAAAGCCTTAATTTTCTTTATGGTTTTGATAATTGACTTTCATCTTGCTTAGTATGGGCACAGCATGGAAATGTGCTGCAAAGAAACTGTAATATTGATAAGTGTCTAACACTGCAACTATGAAGCCCATTGTCAGCCTTGCAACATATGTTGATGGTAGTAAAATGACTCAACTGAAACTGCTTCATATACGTACCCCTCTTTTCGTAGCGTATCGTCTGTACACTGTTGTTCCTCGGCTGGTCAAGTTCATTGACTATCTGACCAATGTGTATGTGCGGATGAACAGAAAGAGACTCAGGGTAAGGAGTTAATACCTCTGAAGATTAAACACATTTTTCTAATTTTTTTTTTTTTTTTAGAAAGGGCTAATTATAATCTTAACGTTAAGGCTGAAGCATGAAATTTGAAAAATATTTCTTAATGTTTATCAAAACTTGTTTCGTGATTTTCTATATTTTTTTTTTTATGGGGAATTGATTTGGTATTAAAACACCTTACAATAATTACGAGGGAACAAGAAAACTTCACCTCTTTTTCAACTGATATTTGCCGGAGATTTAACTGACGTAGTGGATATTTTTTTTACTCTGTAGGGGGAGTGTGGGGACAAAGATCGTTACGAGTCACTTCAGACGCTGTTCAGTGTTGTATTTTCTATCACAAGATTAATGGTATGTTCTAGTATTTTGATTATAGAAGAAAAAAAAATTGGAGTTGTTCAGGTATTAACTTCACACTTGTGATTGATTTTTAATCAGGAATGATATTAAGCACACATCGCTACAGTGGCACACAATTTATGTATTCTGTGGGAACACGAGTCTCAGCGGAGTTGGTTGCTTACTAACAATATCCATTTTGATCTCAAATTCAATTTAACTACGGCATTGACCATGTGTGTTAGTCTTATGAGTGAATTCTTGTTCTCTTGTTTGTAGGCGTCATTCACTCCATTTCTCACCGAGTTCAATTACCAGTCTCTGCGGCCTTTCATTCCAGAAACTATGAAAAGCGGAGAAACAGAGAGTATTCATTATCTGATGATTCCTAAGGCCAGGTAGGTACATTTACTGTCTTATTACACTGTGTGAGCTGGTTTGATTTTAACACACAGTTAAGTGAAAACTCGACTTTGTTTAAAATGTTTAGGATAGGATAAGGATAGGATGCATAACTTTATTTATACATGGTTTTTCCATCAGTTGATTTAGTTAATTCTATACTAGAAACCTATCTATCAAACTAGAATAATAATTTGATAACAACAATTCAAATAAAAGAAATAAATAAAAAATTCTGCTTTTCATGGAGGCTGTGTCTAAAATTTACTTTAGAATTAAGATCTTACTTTAAACTGTGGCGACTTAATTTAGATTTGAAATCAGTCAGCGAAGACGCTTGTCTTAGGTCTACAGGTAGGTTGTTCCACAATTGAGCTTCGTTGTACAAAAAACTTCTCTTGAGATAGTCAGTTCGAGGTTGTGGAAGAACTTATTTGTTTTCGGTATTCCTTAAACGATAAGCACTTACACTGTCACGATATACAAATCTTGATCTCAGATAATCTGGTGTCATACCATGTAATGTTTTACACATTAGGATAGATTTCTGTTCCAATCTTTGATAGTAGAATCTTCGCCACCCTAGCGCCCGGAACAAATCATCCAAATTACTATCATAGCTCGCTGACATTAGGATGCGAGCTGCCCGATTTTGCAGCCTTTGTAGTTTTTCAGAAAGGCCTTTGTTACAGTTTCCCCACACTACGTTACAATAATCAAAATGTGGTTGAATAACTTTAAAACATTAAATGGAGTGAGATGCCGCATTCGTTTAATCGCACCAATGGCACAAGCTATCTACTAAGAGATATTTTCAGTATGACACTCCCAATTTATATTTTGATCGACATAAACTCCAAGGGATTTAGCGGAGGTTACTTGTTCGATTGCGTTTTCTTTTATAATAAGAGAGGGACTTTCCGTAAATTGTGATAACTTCTGCCTTGATGCAATAAGCATGAACTCAGTTTTTGTCATATTTAAGGTAAGTTTGTTAGCAGAGAGCCATTCGTACACATTGCTGAGGTCGTGATTAAGGCAATAATTTATATGCTCAATGTCGGTACTGGCAAGCGTCAGGCTGGTATCATCTGCATACATTCTAGGTTCCGAATATGTCAAACAATGCGGTAAGTGATTAATATATATCAAAAATAAAAGAGGTCCCAAAATCGTTCCCTGGGGAACACCACATCTCAGACATTTCGGAGTTGACTTACAAGAGTTTAAGTGACAAATCTGTGTTCGGTTATCTAAATAAGAAGCAAACCATTGATGGCTGGTCCGACAAATTCCATAGTATTGCAGTTTTCGTAATAAAATATCGTGATCTACTGTATCAAATGCCTTTTTGAGGTCTAAAAAGACTACGCTATTAACAAGACCACGGTCTATATCCACTGCCCAGCTATCTGTAGCTTCGATAAGTGCTGTGAGCGTGGAATGCAAAGACCGAAAACCAGATTGATGGCACGAGGGAAAGTTGTTTTTAGTTAAATAATGATAAAGCTGATCGTAGATTATCCGTTCAAAGACTTTGGCCACAACTGGAATTACTGATATTGGTCGATAATTCGTTGGATCGGAGCGCTTCCCGGAAATTTTGTACAACGGAGGTGACTCTGGCAGATTTCCACTCATCGGGAAAGATGCCAGTCATTAGGGATTGATTAAATATATGAGTAAGAGATTCTGCTAGTACATCAGAACATTCTCTTAGAAGTTTCGCAGAAATATTATTCAAACCAGTCGCCTTTGACTTGCAGAGCCTGGATAGTAGTGCAAAAACGTGTTGGTGTTTGTTTTCATTGACGTCCTATAGGACATTAATTTTTAGATGCATAGTACATGTTTTTTTTTTTTAATTCCGCAACTCGTCACTTGTATTACTTTGACAAAATATTTTATTTTAAGGGAAAATCTCATCGACGAGGAGGTCGAAAGAAGAGTAGCCCTAATGCTGACAGTGATTGAACTAGGTCGAGTCGTCAGAGAGAGGAAAACTCTACCGTTGAAGGTAAGAATCCCTCTCGTGATAAATTTTTGATGTGAAGTCATTTTTCTCCCAGTTTGGGAATTGTGATTTTTTTAGAGATTTTGCGTTTTTGATGAAGATGGTAATGGATGTAAGAAACTATTCTACGCTCATTGTCGTTAGAAGACTAACAAATTAAGCTTGTCTGTGGTGAAAATTATTTTAATGTAGGTTTTATTAGAATGTGTTCGTATCATCATAAAATATTTGTGTCACTTTCGGTGATGATTTCAATTCAGACTCGATGGGAAGACCAAATCAATGAGGTATTTATGCCCTGTGCCTTCTGTAGATGATGTGAGTTGCAAGAGTAAGATAATTGTGGAGGTATTGAGCGGGAGGTGTACGCATAACACGAGAAATCACCAAATCTGTCGATTTTTTTTCTTCAACTGGGCTGCTATATTTTGTTTATTCACTCCAAGTTACATGAAAGGGAACAGTCGAAATGATTCTGGTGTGCGGAAAGTTTCGAGTAGCGGGTAGAATAGGCAGTGAGGGGAGAGTTGGGTAATTCTGAAGGGTAATAAGCCTCTTCGCGTTTTGTCAACTCGCCTGCAGATGGGTGACAGGCGGGCAAAATCTCTGGTATTCTTGGAGGAATGGCTCCCTTCCAATGATTGTGGACGGAATACCAAGAGGACCTAGAGTTTGGCTTAAGGGTGTTAATAGTGGTATCGTTATATACCGTTCATTTGATAGCACAAAATATGAGGAAAGTTCCAAATCACCCTACAATGCAATGCTAACCCTTATGCTGTGTCGTGTGTCCATGAATGATCTTCAATTTTGCTGTCACGTTGTTCTTAACCAGCAAGTTGGGCGTTGAACGGCTTGTGATAAATTCTTGTAGTTCGTTCTCTACTATATCTATCTTCCATTGTTTCGACTTGCATTGTTATGTGCCCCTCCATAAGCTTCCTAACATTGAGTGTTTTTTTCCTCCAGTATCCCCTCCCTGAGCTTGTCGTCATTCACCAGCTGCAACAGAGCCTTGATGACGTGTTGTCTCTGGAAGACTATATCAAACAGGTCCGTAGCGATCAAACACCGCGCACTTTGCTGTTCACTTTACTGGTGCTTTTTTTCCAGTAACTGTATTATTGTGTCTTTAGGAAGTGAATGTGAGAAAGATAACAGTGTCGTCAGACAAACAGAGGTTTGGGGTTCAACTCAAAGCTGAACCTGATAATCAGACCTTGGGGCGCAGATTAAAAGGTGCCTTCAAGCAAGTGTCTCAAGCAATTAAAGGTATTTTATGGCAAAACAACCTGGTTGAGGTGGAATTTTCTTTTTTTTATGTAAAATTATGTTCAGGTGACCGTTAGTTTGTGGAAGCTAAGAAATGCCACTTTGAATATTCTTGCAGGTCTTTCAGACCAGGAAATACAAGTGTTTCAGGAGAAAGGAGAGCTGCTGGTGGCTGGGCACTTACTGAGTGGAACAGATATAAAGGTGATGAAGTAAACGGTTATAGTTTGCAGAGTTTAGAGAGATCGTTTGTATTCAAACCCAGCGTGTAACTATAATAACTTTTTGTCTTGGTTGTTAGGTGATGTACTCATTTGATCAGAATGGATCGGCGCCGTCAGCATATGAAGCATACTCTGACGGAGAGGTAAACTCTGATCAGTATTAGAGAGCGATTTTTAATTGAGTATCGAAAGTAATCCGGATTGCTTTGGTTCTGCTTCATTTCCCTTTGTGACTGGTCTAGAAAACTAGCGCCACCGGCCACCTCAACCGATCAAATGCAAAACTTAACTAGCGCCACCGGCCACCTCAACCGATCAAACGCAAAACTTCAACCAATCCTTACTTGGTCAATGGCGTTTTCCTCCGCTTGGCAGCAGTCTCACTCTGGCTGCCTTTTTTTACACTCGGTTAAAAACTGCTCTACCTATTCTTTGTTATCAGTACTTTTGAGATTTTCCAGACTTCCATGCTTCAGCTATCAAGCAATTATATAAGTGATTCGCGGTCAATGAAATTGAAGAATATCGTACTGCCAGTTCTTGCAGTATAATCATTAATTCCTCCATGCCGTCTCATCTGTGCTAATAATTGACTGGAGAGCACATTGATTCCTATTAGCTGAAGTGCGCCGTAACTCTTACCTAACAGACTCATTTAGTTAGTAGCACGGGAGTAACTGACGGTCGTGGTCGTGGGTCGTGGGTACCAAGTCATGGGTCGTGGGTATCAAGTCGTGGGTTGTGGTCGTGGGTCGTGGCTAACAATTATTAATTATTAATTGTTTATTATAATTATTTAAAGATGAAACAATTTTTAGTGTAATAGAAAAATCCGAGCCCCAGATGGGACTTGAATCCACGACCCTCCGTGATCTAGTCGGATGCTCTAACCACTGAGCTACTGGAGACTCTATGGTGAGCAAGGGTCAATTTGTGGGCCTCGACTGGAACCACATCGCGCGGCTACACAGCCAAGTATTGGAAAGCACCTGTGAAACTCACTAACAGCATCACGCTGTCACATTAAGGCATATCAAGATGGGGCCAACCAACCTCCAAAGTGAGCGTGTAAAGATGAAACAATTTTTAGTGTAATAGAAAAATCCACAAATTGACCCTTGCTCACCATAGAGTCTCCAGTAGCTCAGTGGTTAGAGCATCCTACTAGATCACGGAGGGTCGTGGGTTCAAGTCCCATCTGGGGCTCGGATTTTTCTATTATAATTATTAACTATTCAAACAACCAAAAAGAAAATAACTCCGTTGCAAACGTTTATTTATTATTATACGACAATTATACGACCTGTGATTATGCAGATAGAGGATTGCACCGTCCAGGGATGAAAAAATCGTCAAGAAACATTGAATCTTGTGATCTGCTTTACGACATCGTAGTGTTCCTGATGCAGTTGAGGGTTTACATCATCTGGGAGTTTAATGAGTCCTGGGATTTGGGGACAAACGATCCTGCTATGATACCCTGACAAAAAAAGTTAAGCAGAGTGACTTAGTGTCTAATGTTTATTTTCAAAAACGAAAACCACAAGTTCCATGATCTGCTGCCTCCACGCAACGAGTCCACCTATTACACCCGCAGCCAGAGATACTTCAAGCTACCAATTTGTAAGACAAATAGGTTCAAAAACACATTTATCATGGCCAACAGTTTTAATTATTAGTAGCTAATTATTTGTATTTTGGTTTTTGATACTTGTCTTATTGTATTTTATTGTAGATTACATTTTGCGGCTTTTATTGTAGTTATCTTAGAGTAAGAGATAATTTATTCCCATTGTAAAGTAAGTCGTATTTCAGCCGGCCCGGGGCTGCAATGATTTTACTTCCTAATAAAGCTATCTATCTTTCACTTGAATTCCAATTGCGTTGCTGTGCGACATCAGTTTTTCATCCCACGACCCACGACCGTTAGTTACTCCCGTAGCACGGTAGTCTGTGTTCGACATGCTGAGTAACGTGCATGTTGTGTCGTCATCAAGGTACTTGCCCTTTTGGATGTCACCCCGGATCAGTCTTTGCTCTCTGAGGGTGTGGCACGGGAAGTGGTCAACCGAATTCAGAAACTGCGGAAAAAGGCAAGTGAAGCTAGTCTCAGTGACACCTTGACTTTTGGCTTTTCAGTTTGATTTGTTAAGAGGAACTGTCAGGAACTGTCGGCAACTGTCCATCATGAACTTGAATGTGTAGAAGGAGTGAAACACCTATTTCTTCCATTCCTTGCCCCTGTAGTAAAGATTCCAGGAGAAGTTCGTTTCTGCCAGAGCCCCTTTCGTTTGAAGAAAATTGGGAAATTCCGTTTCCGCGTTTGTCAGGAAATATTTACCGGAAGTTAAATCTAAAATTAGCCGTTTGTAACTCACTTCGCATTTTTGAACCAAAGTTACAGAAAGTATCAGACTCGCTCCATCGAAAGAAAAAATCTTTTTCCATTATTTGTACATGATTTGACCTCATGCGTAGCTTGAGAGTGTCCCTTGGTAAGTTTTTTCGTTAACCTGTTGAGATCCCACAATCTTGGCTGATTTGTAACCGTTGTTGTCTCATTAGGCTCAACTTCAGCCAAGCGACGACATCACCATTGTGTTTGACGTTACACAAGGCGGGTTAGGTGACGTCATCAGGGAGCACAAAGGTTACATTGAAGACAGTGTAAAACAACCTGTTGTGTCCAGCTCCCTCGCACCAAGCTTGCCTCTAATAATTTCCGAGGAAACAGAGGTATGTAGCACACATCTACTTGAAGAGTATTGGCGAAATATGATCTTAGTGTTGGTGAGATTATTTTCACAATAAATCTCTTTTCTTGGGGTTCAATGAAACCACGCGCAATATCTGGAAAATACACAGAATGCTTGTGAATCAGTCGGCTGGCAGTGTATGGTCACTACAGCTACGATACTTTGTCTTATCTTGGAGTTTCTTGGAGAGTGTAGGCTTAGTATAACCAAACAGTATTGCAGCGAGTGTCTAAATTAAGAATATCATCGTACCTAGCTGTCTCAGGTCAGCATCTGATTCATAAACTACTAACACTTTTTCATACTGACAAGTGCCCCGAGTCTCTTACGTAGGGTGGTCACACTGCGTAGATGGCTCAGGGGCCTCTCAATGTAATGAAAAATACTGATAATTAAACCATAGACCATATTTCAAGCTTTTATTTTGTGGCCAACATTTTTGAACGCGGTGAATCCGGAACCGAGAAATTTAATTCCCAACAGATAATTACTCGAAATCGATTACTAACCGAGAGTAATTAAGTTAGTCTTTGAGCTGCCCGCTGTGTGGAAACATTTCCAAGTAGCTTTCCTTGCTACAGCTGACTACTTAAACAGCACTCAGAATGGCCCTCAGAAAACAGGAATTGTCAACTGTTAAATGCTTTGCAACTCTATTTTAAAATGTGGGCGACCAAAATTCTCCTCAAACTAGTATGTTTGTCAGGTGTGGTTTCATCTTTTTTCATGAGCCTGTATCCTCATTTCCATGGTCAATTTTAGGTTAAAGGTAGTATGCTTGATCTGAAGTTGCTGAAAGGTCATCAGACTGCAAATAAGGAAATGACTGTCGGAGAACCGCTGTGCAAATTTGTGAACGTACAACTGTATAGAGGCGGAGCCGGGTTAGCCAAGGGGACTGTGCTTTTGGAGAATCCCAAGGGAAGCCCGGTCATTTCATTGGATCAACTGAAGCGACAGGTACTTTTAATGGTCTTTTTTATCATGTAAGTTCTTAGAACACACAGTTTTGTCCCTTTCTGCTGGGTTGAATGAGGTTCTCATAAACAGTTTATGACGGAACTGAGTACTTGATATAATAGACAGTCATTCTGAAGTTGCACAAGGTGCTAAAAGTTGCTTGTCAATGACTGTTTGCTACAAGAACATTTTTCTCTTCTTACCAATACCATTACACTTGTCCTTGTTTAGCTACCTGTTTAATTGTTTACATTCCACTCATTCTCTGATTGTTTGTTACCACATCGGTCGGTGGCTCGTCTATTGGAAGTATACTTTATTTCCGCTTTATTTACCATGTTTTTATGCTTTCAAAACAGGTGGCCGTGATGTTTGATCAACAGGAAAGTGCTTTGAAACTGTCTTTGTCCCCAAAATGTGAACCAGGTTAGTTTATCACACTAAGCATTCCTACTCAAACTGGGACAGCATTGCCATGTCTTGGTGCAACCCACTTTCCCACTTGTTTTGCTTCTCGTGGTTTAATAAGTGATGTTTGAGTGGAATTTACTCAACGAAAAGAAGAAATAATCAACATCAATTATTCACTGAAGTGGAGGTAGACACTGGCCTTTTCACTGACACTGACGTAGATAACTGTTTTGAATATACCTCATAAGAACAAAAAAACGAGCCTTTTTCAGTCAACATGACGAGAAATGGTCGGAAATTACATTCCTGATACGCGATTTTGTCTCCTAAGCTGCTTGGAGGTGAATAGCACTTACTTTTCACTTCCGAACTGGCCAATCAGAGAGCACTATTCGACTGTGTGATATATTAATGCAGTCTATTTTCTGTGGATAGCTTGCTGTAAAATCATAAAGCAACTAGAGAGATTTGTTAGCGTGTTTAAAATCTCTTCGTTTAACCTCTTTCGTCGAAAATAAAATAAAACTGAAAGAAAATACGTGTCTTGAGATCATGGGGAATGGAAAAAGAGACCCCAAGGTGCACCGAGTGTAGCTGGAGCAGTTTAGAAAATACGTTGTTTTTATACATTAAGTTCAATGTTATTTTCTCTCTTTTTCTTTCAGTTCTTACCAACAAAGACATGTCCAAATTACCTGGTGCTCAATTGTACGCTTTTGTCACAGGCTGAATTTGGCCATTTTGAATCTTGTTTACGGTAGTTTAGTGTATTACTGTTGGCGTCCACATCTGTTTTAAAGGCTAGTTTTCCCAAGTCACTAACTGTGGGGTTTTGAGCTGCATTGGGTCCAACAGTGTTTGAATTGCAAGTGAAGGGTGATGTTGATGACAATTTAGTCATGTAAGTTGTCCCACTCAAAACCTTTTTTATTTAACAATATCCTAACATTGCCTTTTGAGAGAATCGTAAGGGTATTGTGTTTTGATGAATTCTCTTCTCTTTTTTTAAACTGAATCAGAAAGCAAAAAATTGTGGCAATTACTGTTCCCTTATTATTAAATAATTAATCAGCACGGTACACGTCAATTCTAGCATTTAAAAGTTGTTTTTAGAGTTCTTCAATAAACAAAGTAAATTCAAGGCATGGTTTTATAAATGACTCAAGTCTCTCAACACGTCTGAGGGTCAGGTGAATTACGAACAGAAAACAGAGAGACAATACCACAAAACATTACAGGCTGACATTTACTTTGTTTTAGTATTCTAAAAATCAATTAATTACGTTTTAACATTCCCCCATGGGACTGGGTATTGTAAATTATGCCTTTTTCAAGTATTACATACACTACACATTCCGAAGAACAAACTGACTTCTGAGTGGTTCTTCTAATTCTGACTTCTAATTCGTTCACTAAGCGGAAAAACTGGACGGTAATTGAACATTCAAATATGATGCTTTTTAAATCTGAGACGAACAGAAACTGGTTTTCCGTGTTTCAAACGTCTAGGAAATCTTTGTGGTTGTCACACACCAGTTGAACTTAAACAACTTCTCTGTCTATAAAATTCAAATTATCAACATTTGAATCAAAATAATTATTTGACCATTTTCCAGAGTTTATCATCTCTAGCCATGTCTCGGCATAATCATCGTTGTGAACTTGATTTGAAGTTCCTTTTATCCTCTCTTGTAACGTTCATCACAGAATGGTTCGACCTCCCTTTCTTTGTTATAAGTTATTCTACCATTTCATCGTCGCTCATCTCCCAAACCTGAGACAACAAACCAGCGTTAGATAAAAAGCTATTCTCTCTCCACCAGAATATAATCAATGTTTATTTGCGTTGTTCTGACGAAGGGATAGAAGGAGCGCCTGAAGGTTAGCTGTTCAACAGCACACCCTTATACAGTACACAGAGCACATCTAGAGCGTGCTTAAGATATTCCTCTTTGATTGCTTTTTAATCAAAATCAGAGAAATTAGAGCCAAAGGCTAGTTATCGACGATTCGGCGCATTCTGCAAACTTGTGATCATCTTCAGGTGACTGCATACTGGGAGTCGAAACTTCTCGATCCACAATGGATGAGCCTATACTATAAGACAAACTATCTACAATTTTATTCACTACCATAAATGAACACGACCTTTTACACGATATCATCAGTAATATACGGTAATCGTTTTCCATTGTAACTGTAAGCGATGCTTCTGCGCAAGAAATGTAGCGAGCTGTGAGTAGTGCATTGTATTATATGTTAAAGCAACGCTGGGTAGAAAAGTATTGCCAAATAGGGAAGACGGTGATGTTTCTCTAGGTAAGTAATGAACTCTTTCAGTTTGCGGCTACGGAAAACGAAAAAACAAAAAACCCTCAAATTTGGAAAATTTTCGAAAAACATAGTTCCCACTTGATGCAAATATTTTATTTTAGTGCAAAAACGGCTGAAAACAGAATGATGGACGTTCAACTTGTGCCGTTTGCCGTCGATTGTGGCGCCAGCACATTTATCTGATTAAACGTTTTGTTGTGTAGTATCGCTGAATATTTTTACGAGTTGTCATTTTAGTGCGGGCGAATTTCGCGGATATTTAAGGGGAGTGCGAGATAGATGTATACTAAGCGGAACGGAATTGGCGTGGAAATTTCACTGTCGTCGAACTGCTTTTCTTCGTTCGATTTATCTGATAAACTTGGATCAAAATTCGCCAGCCATTCCGACTCTTCGTCGTCCGAAAAATAATTTATATTGTCTGCCATTTTTCTTTCGTAACTTCAATCCGATTCGTCGCTTGCGCGATGCCAGAAAACCTGTCTAACCGGTTCTCTGGAATACAAATACCGCGAGATGTTTGTACTAGTTTTGCGTGTTATTTGTGTTCCACAAAGGGATTTATTAAAAGTTGTGTTATGTTAGTAAGAGTTTTGGTAAACAGAATAAAATCTGTAGAAACGAAGAAAAATATATCATCGACTGACCTCGCTAACTCTTGTGTCCTGAAGAAGCTGTGTCAGGCCTGTTAGGTCTTCTAAGTAGCTTGGAACATTAAAAACCTTCATCAGGAATGAAAATTTTTCCTCTTCATAGCTCGACAGAACCTGAGAGAACAATTGACAGATAGCTCAATACATGATGAAAATCGGTGACAATCGATAACAATCACTTTAAATACGTTCCACTTGATCGACTGATAGTGAAAAACGATTACTAACCGTAAGGAAAGAAATAAGACATGATCGACTTTTGTCGACTGTTAATTTTTGAGGGAGGGGAAGCGGGGGTTGGGAAAGCTCCGCGTGGTAAAGACTCACCATCAAACCAGTACGTCATCCATTGTGTCTTACCCTTGTCATGAGACAAAAGAGCGAGGGCCACACATTAGTCAACAAGTCGCACTTTCCTCGAAAAACACGTTGCACAAAATTAAAAATTTGTGGCCGATGAAGCAGGTCATTGTTGATAAAGCCCGGTGGGGACGTACTTGGGTCAATTTTTGCTGTGTATGTGCCGCTGTCCTCTCAAAACCCCTACCCCGTTATAGCCTATTCTGTGGCCAATTATAGACCCTATCTTAGTCACTTTTGGGCAAATGCAATTATCGTTTTCGCAATCCCAACTTATTTACTTTCTGTTGATAGATGTACCTTGTAAAGCCTTTAAGTGGGTCGTCCTTAAGTAAATTGACGCATTTTTTTTACACGGAAGGTAGAACACTATTTTCTTACCAAAATCCCAAAAATGTGCGACACCATCCTAGTAACTCTCTTGAAATGTAACCCCAGCCTGGGGTCGCGTTTTTTAAGACTGGGTTGACTATCGTATAGTCAACCCAGTCTTGAAAAATGAGACCCTATTCAGCGGCACAACCATTAGCAAATTACTACAGTGGACGCCCCCGGTAGAAAACGAGTCACCACAACTCAGTACTAACGACGCAGCACTGACACAACCTGCCACTATGACCATAAAAAAGAAGAAGAAGAAGAAGAAAAAATCACGCTATCTGCTGGCAATCACATTTCGTCATACCTTAGAAGAACAAGCAATACATTTATCAAAGCCCAAGCTTGCGGGGAGAACTAGATGATATCTTGAAAGAAAACCACGAATCTGGAAAGAAAACAGACAAAGAATCGACGAAGAAATCAAGTTGAAATTAAACTTCGCCTTATAAATGAAACATATTGACAACACTAAAATTCATATATGAACGACGAACAAGCTTACCTGATGAGGTACAAGTCCCAACTTACACTCCAGATCAGCTGACAGATGCGCGTCTTTAGCACTAGTGTCAGCTGCCGCTTCATTGCTGTCAAAATCAAACGCATTACACTACTTAATACGCTGAGAGAAAGTCTGTACAGATTCGCCGTCCGTTCAATCATGTCATACCCCTAAGATGGGCAACCTACATTTAAAGTTCAACTGATTCCAAGGAAGTTATTTACTTTCTGTTATTCTACCTCCAGCCTTTTGAGACCTATGGACCAGTGTCACTGAGAAATTCTAGGTCAATCTAATTCTTTGAGTTCTATTTCATCCAGTGCATATTCAGAACTTCATTATCATTCACCGGGAAATTCGTATGTGATGGGCATTCTTATAGCGTAACTTTACCAGTTGTCGGAACGAAAGTGATAACATGGGAATTCCCACTTACCCCAGAGGGTGTTGAGTGAGAGAAACCAGAAGTTCAACAGCCAGGGCACTAGCTATGTATGACATACCAGGTCTGGATACTGTACACTGCTGGTCCAACGTACGGTCTCTAGTGGACTACAAGTTTCAGTAAAATAACGTCAATAACTAAGTCATAACTGATTTAATATTCAAAATCTTATTTATAAGTAAAAAGGGTTACTCTTTAGGGAAAAAAAGACCTCCAAGATATAAATGATATAAGTATCTAAGGTTAGCCTTCTACAAGTTATTATAAAGCAACTGAAATACAAGCGCCCTGGTCGGTCAAAAACCTATCGTTTACTGTCCTGGTAATCACACAGAAATTGAAACGTAAAACATTGTTTTAAATTCATGTTGTAAAAGTAATAGAGCGCAGTTTCGATCGCTTGCACGATAACCCGCTTGGGATGTTGGGAGAACAATCTCGAAGTTTGTAAATGACTTGACTCCGGCTCGTGATTTGCAAACCTGAAGAAGTTTTCTCGTGTTCTTCCAACATCCCAAGTGGGTTATCACGCCGGTAAACCAATAGAAAGTACGTCTATCGCATCAGTAGTGTATACTGTAATTTAAAAGACTTACATCTCCTGGTGCCACGACATCATTACAAAAATAACAACCCAGAAAGGCTCCTGGGATGGACTCCAGTTTAGAGGCTCCTTCGCAAATGACATGCGCTTTACGTCTGGGACCGTGGCGCATCACTAGGAACGTATCAAAGCCAAGAGCTGCTGTAATTACAAACTAAAAAAAAAATTTTTAGAAGCACTTTTTTTAACGTCACGATAACTCTTGATACCTGACCATAATCATACTTCTTACAGTTATACGACTCTTCTATGATTCGCCTGGAGCCGAAAACCTGGGGTTTGATTTCAAACTTGTCATCATAAGTCCTTAATGGTTTGTAAAGTAATTGAGAACTCAAGGTACCTATTACAGCTTAGCTATTCTTCTGGAAACTAACCTCTTTACGCTGAATCTACCTGGTTGCTTTGTCCACGTTAGGTAAAAGCATAACATTACCTTCCCTTTAATAGCGCCAATAACTGTCGGCAGCCAGCGGCTTTCTCGTGTGTCCATCAGCAGGAATACAGCATCATGAGACTCAATCAACTCTTCAAGTTTTTTCACATCTTCTTGAACTTTCTCCATTTCCTCTGTAGAAGCAATTGTCGTCATTGAAACATAGTGAAGATAAATCATCAGTGATCAGACAGCGGTTGCATCATACAACCTACAAGGGGAATTTTTCTATACCTGGAGATTGTCCAACAGAGTGGCCTGGCATTGGAATAGACAACTGTACAGCTGACGCATTCTACCGACAAAACAGAAACGTTTTACGATGTGAGTAATTAGATTATCAAATACACAATCACCGAATAACTAAATGTAAATAATGAAATAGCTATTACATTCCTTCCTACCCACCTACATAACTAACCAACCAACTACGGCGATTTTGAACAATTTAACGATGGTTTAATGATGTTCAGTGCCATCTTTGCAATAAATAATATTAAACAAAATAGCACAAGCATTCTGGCAAACCTTACCACGCCAGGAAATATCCTTTTCAGTGCAGACGCCGCAGTTTCTGCTTTAGGCTTGCCTCCGTCCTGACAGTCGGCAAACTCAAACAGGGTTTGACGAACGGGATTGGAGAATGAAATAGTTCCATAGTCAACAAAGGTAATGGTCCGAACACCCCAGCCCTAAACAAAGAGGAAAGGCAATCAATCATCGCTAAAATAGCACGGAATAATTGTGAAAATCTAATACGGCAAATAGTTCAACAAACGTAATCACCCTTATAAAGATATAGAATTGGGGGAGGGAAAGAGGAGTTTTAGGAGGGTCGTTTATCCGTGGGCGCTCTTATTTGAGGGGAGGATTTGTAGTAAGTGTGATTCATGGGAACTGATTGGTCATTTTTGATGTGATGTTATTGACTGTGAGATACCAGTAGCACGAGTCCGTTGTGATTGGTTAGTTCCAATCCGTTGGTTAAGTTATGTCGTCGGTTCGTGTTTCTCGTCAATGTGTCGTGAATGAGTAGTTCGCGTGGTGCAAGAAGGTTGTTGACATTCGTGAAGAACAGACTCCTCTCAGTTAGTCAAGCAGCTTCTTGAAGACTTCCTTTGAAAGAAGTTAGTGAAAGTATCACTTTAGGCAAAGAGAGTATTGACGTCACATTTTCAAATCGCTCGTTTGTGTTTAGTCAGTCTTGTATTGAGATCTCGGAGCAAATACAGAATACAGGGCCACTGAGGTCTTCCTTGTCTGTATGCTTTGAAGAACGAGGCAGAACACAAAAGGATGTGCTGTAATTCGATGAGATGTAAATAAGTGGCCCCCATGTATCCATAAAAGATTCATCACAGCTAGGTACAGTACCAATAGACATCTTGCCACATTACAACCAAGGGTACCAGCGCCAAGGAGAAGACATTTTGTTCGTGCAATTTTGTCCAGATCAAGTGATGGTAGCAATCTCCATCGCATTAGCTTTAAGTTCAGATCCACTGATGATGATGCTAGCCTAGAATTCAATAAAAATCCAGATGAACAATGATTTACTTCTCTCTCTAGCTTTAGGCAGGACACAGTGTGTGCAAAGCTTGATAGTAAAGTCACGGCCATAATTATATAATTATATTGGAGCACTATGTTTGGAGAGGGCTATGCTGGTTCTACTCAATACCACATTTAAAAAAGATTAATAATAATCTATAGTAACGTATATGTGCACGATCCTTCGCAGTAAAGCACTATTTAGGCAATAGTGAAAATCAGACCTGAAAAAAATTCAGGCCTGTACGGGATTCGAACCACTGACCTCTGCGATACTAGTGCAGCGCTCTACCAATTGAGCTAACAAGCCAACTGGGAGCAGGCCATCAAATTAATTCGACATAAACCCGTAGATGATAAATCAAACAACAAACATATGAAATACATATATATGAACTGCGGTTATGAAACGTATATGTGCACGATCCTTCGCAGTAAAGCACTATTTAAGCAATAGTGAAAATCAGACCTGAAAAAAATTCAGGCCTGTACGGGATTCGAACCACTGACCTCTGCGATACTAGTGCAGCGCTCTACCAATTGAGCTAACAAGCCAACTGGGAGCAGGCCATCAAATTAATTCGACATAAACCCGTAGATGATAAATCAAACAACAAACATATGAAATACATATATATGAACTGCGGTTATGAAACGTATATGTGCACGATCCTTCGCAGTAAAGCACTATTTAAGCAATAGTGAAAATCAGACCTGAAAAAAATTCAGGCCTGTACGGGATTCGAACCACTGACCTCTGCGATACTAGTGCAGCGCTCTACCAATTGAGCTAACAAGCCAACTGGGAGCAGGCCATCAAATTAATTCGACATAAACCCGTAGATGATAAATCAAACAACAAATATATATGAAATACATATATATGAACTGCGGTTATGAAACGTATATGTGCACGATCCTTCGCAGTAAAGCACTATTTAAGCAATAGTGAAAATCAGACCTGAAAAAAATTCAGGCCTGTACGGGATTCGAACCACTGACCTCTGCGATACTAGTGCAGCGCTCTACCAATTGAGCTAACAAGCCAACTGGGAGCAGGCCATCAAATTAATTCGACATAAACCCGTAGATGATAAATCAAACAACAAATATATATGAAATACATATATATGAACGGCTTGTTAGCTCAATTGGTAGAGCGTTGACTGGGACCACAACATTGACTGGGACTCTGCGCAATGCCTAACCTACAGCACTGACTATTTTCAACGACTGACTCTGGAAAGCTGGTTTACTAACTTAGAACAGACTCCCCTAAACAGATGTCAACAACTACCCGCTCCATACAAACGACTCATTCACGACATAAACATCACAAACGACCGAAAAAGAACGACCTAACTTTACCGACAGATCGAAACAGACCAATCACGACCGACTTACGTCACTTGAGTCTTACAGCCAATAACATCACGGCAAAACCAACCGATCATTTCACACGAACTGGAATAAGAACATTCTACTGACAACAATCATTCACTTGACTCTGATGATGACTTCCGCACAGGTTGTCGAAACGTCAGTCACTACCACCGACAACAGTCCTTCTCAGGACTACACTCACCCGGACGATCAGACTACACCTTCACATGTTACCCCCGGGTTCAAACCATTTACTGCATTAATAATTTTTTGTTCAGATTTTAATTAGCTAACCGGAAACACAGCTAAGCTTTCTCTTAGCGCTTGCTGGAGGTCGTCTACGAACTTAACGTTCTCTGCAACCTTGGCCCTATTGTGAACGATTTTACTACAAAGCGAAGATTAGATTTTGGCGCGCACAGAAAACNAGCTAACAAGCCAACTGGGAGCAGGCCATCAAATTAATTCGACATAAACCCGTAGATGATAAATCAAACAACAAATATATATGAAATACATATATATGAACTGCGGTTATGAAACGTATATGTGCACGATCCTTCGCAGTAAAGCACTATTTAAGCAATAGTGAAAATCAGACCTGAAAAAAATTCAGGCCTGTACGGGATTCGAACCACTGACCTCTGCGATACTAGTGCAGCGCTCTACCAATTGAGCTAACAAGCCAACTGGGAGCAGGCCATCAAATTAATTCGACATAAACCCGTAGATGATAAATCAAACAACAAACATATGAAATACATATATATGAACTGCGGTTATGAAACGTATATGTGCACGATCCTTCGCAGTAAAGCACTATTTAAGCAATAGTGAAAATCAGACCTGAAAAAAATTCAGGCCTGTACGGGATTCGAACCACTGACCTCTGCGATACTAGTGCAGCGCTCTACCAATTGAGCTAACAAGCCAACTGGGAGCAGGCCATCAAATTAATTCGACATAAACCCGTAGATGATAAATCAAACAACAAATATATATGAAATACATATATATGAACTGCGGTTATGAAACGTATATGTGCACGATCCTTCGCAGTAAAGCACTATTTAAGCAATAGTGAAAATCAGACCTGAAAAAAATTCAGGCCTGTACGGGATTCGAACCACTGACCTCTGCGATACTAGTGCAGCGCTCTACCAATTGAGCTAACAAGCCAACTGGGAGCAGGCCATCAAATTAATTCGACATAAACCCGTAGATGATAAATCAAACAACAAATATATATGAAATACATATATATGAACTGCGGTTATGAAACGTATATGTGCACGATCCTTCGCAGTAAAGCACTATTTAAGCAATAGTGAAAATCAGACCTGAAAAAAATTCAGGCCTGTACGGGATTCGAACCACTGACCTCTGCGATACTAGTGCAGCGCTCTACCAATTGAGCTAACAAGCCAACTGGGAGCAGGCCGTTAAGTTGATTAGTAATAAACCCGTGAAAGTGACAAATGAGATACAATGAATATATGAAGTTCATATATTTTGAACTGCGTATTAGATACTTAACGGCCTGCTCCCAGTTGGCTTGTTAGCTCAATTGGTAGAGTGCTGCACTAGTATCGCAGAGGTCGGTGGTTTGAGTCCCGTACAGGCCTGATTTTTTTCAGGTCTGATTTTCGCTATTGCACAAATAGCGCTGTCTACTGCGAGGATCGTGCATCATACGTATCTAATACCGCAGTTCAAAATATATGAACTTCATATATTCATTGTATCTCATTTATCACTTTCATGGGTTTATTACTAATCAACTTAACGGCCTGCTTCCAGTTGGCTTGTTAGCTCAATTGGTAGAGCGCTGCACTAATATCGCAGAGGTCAGTGGTTTGAGTCCCGTACAGGCCTGATTTTTTTCAGGTCTGATTTTCACTATTGCACAAATGGCGCTAACTACTGCGAGGATCGTGCATCATACGTAACAACTCATCACTTTCTAATAAATTAACTCTAAGCTCCATTTATAGCTACCTCTAAAACATCAAATCAATTCATATTTGATATGGCACAAATCTGTAATGATCAATTTCAATCAATTCCTCACTGAATCAAACTCAGTATCCCCAAGATTTAGTTAATTATACCCAAGATCATTCTAACTATCACTTTCGATATTAAATTACCCTAATTTTCTCCCCCCTTCTGAACATATCTGCTAACAGTTCCCCTTTAAATTATGATTGTTGACGAACAAACAATGATGAAAGGCGTCACAAACACGATAAATACCAGAGACATGCAGTGGTATGTGTATAGCCACACACATACTGTTGTTCAGATACCAGTGACATGCAGTGGTATTTGTATAGCCACACACATACTGTTGTTCACATACCAGTGACATGCAGTGGTATGCGTATAGCCACACACATACTGTTGTTCACATACCTAGGGAGCAGTCTCTTTCTTTCAAGTGGGAGAGAAGTGGACTTGTGTATAACTTGTATGTGTATAGCCACACACATACTGTTGTTCAGATACCAGTGACATGCAGTGGTATTTGTATAGCCACACACATACTGTTGTTCACATACCAGTGACATGCAGTGGTATGCGTATAGCCACACACATACTGTTGTTCACATACCTAGGGAGCAGTCTCTTTCTTTCAAGTGGGAGAGAAGTGGACTTGCCCTGCAGTTGCAAACCATCAAACTAATTTTTTTCCCACACCCCTTGCCACTTCTGTGAAATGACTAACAGTTCAGTTTTGTATTTTTACTTTAAATGGCATATATCAATATTACTTTGTTTTGTTTTGGTGTGTAACAGTAAATCTGATATAAAGCTGTGTGACATAGATCTAAGCATCTGCCTCACCTTTGAGTCATCTATGTTGAAAAATGTCTCCCATTCTTGTATATTCCCCACAGTCACTTCACTTTCAGTAACCTTGACAAGAAAGAATCCAGGTCCTGTTGGCAACAAATCAATTTTCTTGGAATTTTTTACACTAACTTGAAATCTGTTTTAAGGAAAAGCTTTACCTTGATTAACAAAAACTGTACATTTCTGTCAAATTAATTAAAAAAAAAAGAGGAAGGAACATTCTGAATCATAAGCCAACTGTTGAAACATAATCCTTTGATTATGACTTAAGTTACTAAAGGTATCAAGATGAAAGATACTGATTGGCACAATGCATATCATGATGAGATATCTCAGTGACTGTGGTAATTAAAGAAGGATAACTTCTTTCATTTTTAACTCATGGTATAAACATAGTTACTGTTATGCAATCAATTTATTGACTCTTAAGTAAATGTCTTGAAACCTCATCTTTTGTCTGTTGTTATTATGCATATGGTTTACTTTCAGTGCTCTAGCTAATGCTTTTGAGTTTAATAATCAACTGGTCATGAAACAGTATGTCATGTAATATTGGACAGAGATGGCAAAGGGTACTCATCACTATAGTGCATAACTAAGACATCCATAGTACATCTAAGGAGCCTTTGATTTATGTTTGTGGGTTCCTAATAGGGTGCTGTGGATAATTTATAGTTTTTTGTGTTACACTGAACCACAGGAAACTTACAGCTAAGTCAACTTAGTCCTGGTTATCACAATTACTCACCAAGACCGTCCACAGAGAGAGAATCGTAAGATGCTTGAAGACTAGCAATCTATAGAGTCAATACAACCAATGAATTGAATGGTGTATATTAAAAGCATTTGATATACCCTTAACCCACAGTCAAGATAAGTCATTAAATAACCACACAAGTCATGCCAACAAATTCAAGATTTGTTCTCACCTGAGAGGGTGTAAAGTAGTCACCAAGATGGACAGGGGGGGCCACGTGAGTTGCACTGGTCTCAGGACACAGAGCAGGGAATGCAAACCAGTAATAAAACTTATATTTCTTTAGATCCTAATAAAAAGCACACGAGATGAAGTCATTGACTGTACCAGTCAGCATTATTTCTAACCTATTTGAGAGGAAAGTTACTTAATTATAGAAAAGCTTCTGAAACAACTGCTTATACATGTTGCTAACTTTACCCTTAGGCTAGTTCTTATTGCAACATTCTGAGGTTATTCAATTTTTTTCAGTTTTAAATAATTTTTCACACCATGTTGATTTTATATCCCTTTGTCTTGCATTCATTAGTAATAACACAAAATGAAGAGAAATAACAATCAATGAAAGATTTTAAGCCATGGAAATTTTTAAACCCAACATCTGCAAGTTAATGTACCCACTCTGTAAATAATTGACAAAACACTCAGAGACTATCTGGGAGAGGAAACCAATAATTACTGCTGATCCCCTACTGTATATAGTTTCATTAATGTATCATTCAATGGTTTGTTTATTTGAATCATCTGTTTCTTTACATGGACTTCCACTTAATTAAATTACTTAATTATGACTATTCATTTACTATATCCTACTTACAGAACAAAAGCCAGAAAACACAGGAAAAAGAGGAACTTACAGCAAATGTCATAAGCACAAACTGACAAAGGACAGATGGGTCCTCCAAAGCCTTGCCTGATTTAACGGTATCCCATATCTTCAATACAAAGTTCAAGACTTATTTAAACAAAAATGATTCATTCCAAGTAAGTGCCTCTTCCCAGTTATATTTTAGTCACTTAGTAGCTAAATTAAGGGCATCTGGCAATAGTGTGCAAGCCAAAACATATGATGGAACATTTCATCATTTCCTGTTTTATTAAATCATTGAGAATGAAAGAGCTGGTTGGTAAGAGAGTTTTCAATCTTACTCTGAAAATTGTAAGCAGAATTGGTTACATTTAAGGCATTCTGAACATGCTATTTCTATCAAGCCTGCAGATGTACTGTACGGAGTTGATGTACTAAAACAGTCGGTAACAAAGTTGCACAGTTTCCAAAGGATATTATTTATTTAGAGTTCTTGCTAATCACATTATGGTTACTGGTAGTTAGACTATTTACTAGAATTCAAAGCATACCATCTTCAGTAAATAAATAGGACAGTTAACTTTAATTACCTTTTGTCCAAAGGATTGGATCAGCTCCATTTTATTGTAAGTTCTGAATGCCTCAATAGTGTTTGTATTGATCAATGTCCCTTGCATAGGATATGTTCTTTGAGGTACTGGCTTCTCACTGGAAAATTAAGGTTGCACTGCACTTTAAATTCTTTCCCTCAGATCTCAATCTACAATGGCATGAAACCCATTCATGAAGTCAGGGGTTTCATTAACATTTTCAGCAAGAGGGGAACTGGTTTTCACAGGTGGGCAAAACTTTTTATTTCAACTTCTTTATAAGATAAACTTTCCTCCAGATCGTCAAACCAGGTGGGCAAAACCATCCTCACAACCAGGCAATTTGTCTCGTGCGCAGGCCCTTAATGAAACCCCCGTGAAGTTGCTCTTTCTGTTACAGGCTTTTTTGAACTTATAAAAATCCCCTGTACTCTCCAGCTATTACTTACAAAAGTGTATCAGTTACAACACAGAATTAACAATTGTTATATTAAACATGGCCCTCAGACACTACCTTATACAAGTTTTCAATCTGAAAATGAATATTAAATCATTATTTTCAAACAGACTGATATGCTCAGTATTGAATAATGCTATTTCCCTGATATTTCCTCTCTAAATGGTTTGGAAAAGAAAAAAACACAGAAAGATGCCAGATACATAAAGATTGCAGACAAAAATGACATACTGAACAAGGACAGCACTGAGCTGCACAAAAGTGGAGCAGGGATTTTGTACACTTACATAGAAAAGGCATTATAATCCAGATTGAAGCGGCATACGAGCCCTGAAGGATCACCTAAGCAAAAAAAAAATGAAAGCCTGCAGACTAAATACAGAGAATATGCAGAATATTTTTATCTCTCGAATTATCAGCTTATAATTAAAAAAAAAGCATGATAAAATTACTCCTTTTCCATAAAAAAAACCAAGTCACCCCTTGGACTCATTATGCTATCAGTTTAGCTTAAGCATCTCTCAATGGCCTATATACCATTAGGTTTATCTGGATGGTTGAATTGTAGGGGTCAGACAAATGTAAGGTCCTGATCCTGAATAAGGGGGGTTAATCTATTATCGATCCCTTTAAACTGAAGCAGATTTCAGAAACTTACTAAGCCCTTGAAATCACCATTTCACACCTATCCACCTATTATTCCACTTTTAGTTGTTATTTTGCTGGGGGAGGGGAGGGGGGTTGATGACTCATCATATCTCTGAGTTAGTATATGTGCTATGATTGCTCAATATCTCTATCACTGTTATCAATACAAAAAGAGTTAGTTACCCCATAGCAAGTGAAAAAAATATTGTGGTGCAAACTTACCCAAGTTAAAAAATTGTACCTAGTGAAAAATTAAATTTACCTTGGAAAACAAATTACCTGCAACATATATACTCTTGCATATAGCAGCTAGCATGCAGTTCTACTCTGACCTGTTTCAAGCCACAGTTCTTTGGTCTACTGAATTCTCCTTTTATCCTCATATCCTAATTTACCCTTTAACAACTTCCTGCATTCTAGCAATGTTGCTTGCAGCCAGAATACAAACAGTCAACTTTCTTTTATATCTTCTCTCAGGCTTGGCATTTGTTTTAGAAAAAAATTACTTAAAACTTAGCTTGAACCCTATCAAAAATAATTTTACTTGATCATTAAGCCATATAATTAAATACAATCATGTGAATACCACTTCTAATTAGTTACACTCTTAAATCTGTGTTTTCGCTGATCCTTGAAGTAAGGTTTTTTTACTTCGATTTGAGATCTTGAAAACTCTGAATAAAAACAATTCACCTTAATTTAAGAACCACTGCCTTAAATCAAGAGCTGAGTAACAGGCAATCTTGCTTTGAGAAAAAAATTCACAAAATGAGAGGAAGATGTCTCAAAATGAGTTGAGAAAGAACTTTGATTTAAGATCTTGAAAACTCGGAATAAAAACAATGCATCTTAATTTAAGAGCCAATGCCTTAAATCAAGAGCTGAGTAATAGACGATCTTGATTTGAGAAAAAATTCTCAAAATGAGAGGAATATGTCTCAAAATGAGTTTGGAAAGAACTTTTGATTTAAGATCTTGAAAACTCAGAATAAAAACAATGCATCTTAATTTAAGAACCAATGCGTTAAATCAAGAGTTGAGTAACAGGTGATCTTGCTTTGAGAAAACATTCTCAAAATGAGAGGAAGATGTCTTAAAATGAGTTTAGAAAGATCTTTAAGCAAGATATGAAACCTTTGCACTAAAAATATTTTTTCAAGATAAAAAAAAAAACAAAATATTTTTCTGAAACAATTTTTTATTCACTTTTTTAACAGCAACATGCCCTCATTAAAATAAAATAGAACAGGTAAATATTGCAAAATTAACCCTCTAAGCCCCATATGCATTCTGATCATAACTACATTCCCTGAGGAACAAAATAATGGTAGATAATATTTACTCTAACTTTGAACTTCACATCTGTCTAAAAACACAAACAACTTCCAACTACAAGAAATGTAAGTTACAAGTGGGAAGACTCTAAGTTGATTAACTGCTATAAATTATTTTTAAAGGGTTTAACAACAATCATTGGTATTAGTTAAAGTTTCAACACAATCCTATTTAAACGTACCATTATTTATCAGAGGCACTGGGTCATTCAAAACATGACTTACTGGATGACTAATCCAGGTTTGGTACAAGTCTTTAGTTGTGTAGCTGTATCAACTTCACAAAATGTTAAGTTCTGTATGCTCTTTTAATTTGAAAATCAATGTTGCAAAGATATTTCACTTCACTGTACTAGCTGGCAACACCTCATTATGATGTTGACTCCATTGAAAAGCTAGTTGATCACACTTTAATTCACAAAGTGAAAGGGTTAAGCAAAAGCAAAATAATTTTCCTTTGTTGCTATGTATAAGCTACCATTAATTCTGTTAGCATGAAACACTTGGTGCCTGTACAAGTGGGTATGTAGTGTTACTTGTAGTGTCATCGGTTGACTCAACAGCTTCAGTTTCTGACAAGGAATCACTGTATTCATCATGATCTCCAACACTTAATTCACACCAATTCCCTAGAAACAAGAAATCATGAAAGTGCCGATAACATTTTTTTAGTTTCTCATCTGAATGCGAAAAAATTTCACGCTTTACACAAAAAGCGAATTTTTTATGAATATTTCAAATCTTCAAAATCCTACTAATTTTTAGCCGTATACCCCTCCCGCTATTTATTCCATGTTCTCTAATGCTCCAGTCCAGTCCAGTCCAATTTTTTGGAGTTGCTCGCGTTATTTTTGTGCTCTTGAGTCTTCTAAAACTATCAAAGTTATGTGAATGAAAAGCTGAATTGTACCTTCACAAGCTGCGTAACTGGGATCGGAACTTGTCAGAAATCGATGGTGTTTTTCACGTATGTGACGAACGAAGGTATTTGCCTTTTGGAAAGTCCGCCCACAACCCTCTATGCCACACGTGGTGTTCAACTCTTCTGTAGAATGCCTTGTGTTAATGTGAGTTAGTAAAAAACACAACTTAAGTGCCGCAAAACAAGCGCAAATAGCACATTTCCAAACCATGTTTGCTCTACTATTGTCAGGCACTGTGGATGACTATTTGGGATTTGGAGAGTTTTGGAATTCGTCGTGTGAGAGTCCGAGACCTTTGACAATCCACCTGTCAAAGGTGTGGCCAATGAAATACTACCAAGATGTCGTAATAAACTCATTTTGGCAGGAGTTGCCCGTAGTGGTTTTTCGAGTTTCTTGCAGCCCTACAGAATTCCACGGTGAGGGCCTTGCAGGCTACTTTTCGGAGGGATTTACTCCGCCGTCGAAAAAAAAAAAGGAAACAAATGTTACTTGTCAACAGCTTGTCAGTTCCCTCAAGTATCGCTGGGGACTCCCAGAATCCATTTGCCGAGTTCTTGAAGGTTAGTAACAAGGTCTGATGTTGGCGATAATTTTGACCAATACATGTAATTCAATGTTGTAGAAATGCAATGTGCTTCTTATTTATGTAAAGAGAGTGATAATTCTATAATTCTGTGACCTTTTGGAATATGGCTGATCACTCGTTTTAAGATTATTTATATATCATTCCCATTGTTTACTCGTCCACTGCAGTATTACTGGAAAGTCTGGCAGTTCGATGAGTTAAATTTGTAGATTTGGCGTGCGTGCTCGCTACGATTGAAATGACAACGAAATTTGGCCAACTTCAACCACTACCAAATTGAACGAAATAATAAAGTAACAGCTTAAAACAGCGAAGAAATATCTGTTTAACCATATAAAAACGAAAAAAAGCGCGGATGGGCAAAGCTGACAAATATTTGAACAGATTGTACTTTTGGTTTTACATTGTAAGAAACTGTTCTTCCTACCTGTTAGTTATTCAATCAACTACGTGTCAACATTGAATAAGAATCAAAGGCTCGACTGAGTCCATATTTCTTTGTCATGAACCTCTGCTTGTGTCGATTAGAATCAAAGGGGTCATGCAAACTTAGCTTGGTCCCGGATGGTTTGCAGTATGAAATTGGCAGTGCACCAGCACTGGTAAAATTTCCAACACAGTCAAACACTTTGCTCCTTGTCTTTTTTGAAGAAAATGCAATTGAAGGAGACACCTTCATGAACTTGACAAGGGAGGACCTTCCTGACCTTCTGGGAAAGAAAAGTACGTTCAAGGAAAGGAAGGACTTGTGGGACTGTCTGCGGCTAGTGGTAAGATCATTTGTCCAAACAATGGAATGGTGAAACTGAAGTGAATATCGATCTTTCTGAGACAAAAACCTCAGCCTATTGACCTTTCTGTGTGCAGCCTGTGGCAGGCTGATTTTGTAGGTGAAAAGAAAGTAAACAACAATTAATGGCTGACTTTGAATCTTTGAAGTTATATTGAAAATTAATAATTTATTAATTGCCATTCCCTATGCAGATGACCGTTGTTCTAAAGCATTGGAGAGAACGCCAAAAGCATTCAATTTATCTGCACCAGCACTTGTCTCCTTCATACCAGTAAGTCTAGTACTTTGTGTCAACATAGTAAAATACTTGCTGAGAAAAGTTCATGCTTCTGTCACTGAATTTTTTTGTTACTAAAGATATTTTGGCTTACTGACATAGGCCTTAATTTTTTGGGTTTGTAGAGTTAGGTGATTGAATGCCCTAGTAAATATCAAAAATCAAAGTCAGTGAGAAAAACAAAATTTATCTCAACAGCTGTTAGGTCCTGAGTACAGTTACTCTATAAGAAAACCCTTTTATGGTATCCACTGTACATATTACAGTGTAGCACCAGAGAGAGTTTTTACACTGGCACGACAATATATTACTGAGTTTGGATTGTGAAAACTGGCTGTAGCAATGACTGTAAATCATTTGCAATATATGAATAAACTGCAAGGCTAACTAACTTATAAATTGCAACCTGAAATAGATAGGATATATCGTGTTAATTCTCATGATTACATTCTTTCCAACAGCATGGCAGTAGTCCAGAAGACTTTCTTAAAAAATTGCCATCAAATGACCCCCAGTTGGTTTGTTACACTGGAGGAAATGACACTCGGGATCCTTTGTCACATCAGTGGTTCATAGTTGTAGACAAAGAAATGGTAGAATGTGAATCTCACTTAAGCTGCAAAGCCTTAATAACTTTAATTGCAGCACATTTTGCATTCAATCTGAAGTACAACAATTTCATACAGCCATGCTCAAGTTCATTCATGAATATGTGCTTGGTGACATTCCCAGAAGGAAGTCATATGCATTTAAAAGGCTGGAAAACACTCTTCTTGCTAAGTTACATGTAGAACCAGCCACCACCAATGGTGACCAAGCCGTGTAGTTTAAAATCCATGCTTTAAGGTTGACAGTGCACAATACATATTTCAGTATTGACAAGTGTTTCTTAACTTTAGATTTTGTTACTTCAGCATGTTTTGTTACTTTAGCATGTACAGTCTGTTTGTTGAAGTCAGTGAAAAGTAAGGAAATTTTATTTTCCTGCTAAAACCATTGTGCTAAATGATAAGTTTGGATACAGTATTCGAGTAACTAATGGAGGAACTAGTTTTGGTCAATGTGTTGTTTTTTTTTAATGCCAATGTGAGGTTAGTGAAACTTTTTCAGAGGTCAGGGAAAAGTCCGGAATTTTTTAGTTTCTGATCAGTGGCAACCCTGATTTTATACTGAGTTGTGTTGTTCTTATTTGTGAACCCTTTATTTTAAAGTCAACTTATATGTAAATCAAAGAGGGCAGTTACTGAACTACAAAATCAATAAAGGTCAGTTGTTTTGATTCAGTCTTAGAGTTCCCTTTCATTACTGCTCTTCGTCCTAACTGGGTAAAGAATTTATTTAGATTTGGACTATATGTCAAGATATTCTTATTTTGAGAAGGTAGTAACTTATTTTGAGATGCTGTTGTCTGTATTTTGTTTCACTTGAATGACTTGATTCAAAAAAACGATACTCTTATTTTAAGATCCCATTAAAACTTATTTTTAGATCTGCATGATAGAGGTATCCTCATTTTGAGAATACCATAACCTTGTTCTAAGGTTGTACCTTGAATCTCAAAACAAGGCTCTGTCCTTATTTTAAGATACCGAGTTCTTATTTCAAGATTCCATCCACTCTCGGAATAAGGACATGAACGGTCTTATTACAGGAACTCAAAATAAGAAAATTTCACCTTTATTTAAGGATACCCACTTTAAGAGTGTTAAGGAGTACCTTCAATTGGTACCTATCTAATCTTTAAAAGAAAAGCCAAGAAAATTACTATAAAATTAAGTGCGATTTACTGTTTGATTGGCTGGAATTTAACGTATGTTATAACTAATAAATCTAAATTTTAAATCTACAAGGAACTGCGTTTATCCCATTTTACAAAAATTATGCTAGATTACTCATCCCTAACTGAACGATACTTACTGTTTACGTAATATCCCTGCAGAGGTTGAGGCTTGTCGTCTAACTGATATATTTCCAATTTGTTCTGGGTAAGTCTATGCCAAAATGCCGCATCGACAGCACTAGAATATGGTGCAAACTGCACTCCACTTTCGTTACCGACAAACGCCATGTTGCTCAAATCACATATCCCTCGTGTAACAACCTTGAATTTTACCCTGTATGAAAAAATATGTCACCTATTCATGGTATTACATTGCATGCAATGTTCACATTGCATGCATTTCAGGAAGGAAAATTCATGAACATCTTAGTTTCAATCGTTTCTAACACTGAAGAAGTCACTGAAAGTACTAAAAATAGTGCTTCCTACATTTTTCCACTTTAAGTATTCTCAAACAATAAACCCAACAAGATACATCGAGCATTAGAATTTCCTGGTATTTTTTTTATACCGTTAGTTATGACAGAAAAAAATGGCACATTATTTTATTCTTGGTTATATAGAAGAGACTTTGAGCCTGAATCATGGAGAAGAGAGATAAGATCGGTCAAAATGTCGAAGTTGCTCTCTTAACGCTCTCCATTGCTTCGATTGATAAACTGCGCGGCTAATTAAGTATGAGCACTACCAACAAAACCGCTCTGTCCCATCAACATTGGCTTACAACGTATATCAGGGCTGTCTGTTGATTAAGAAAAGAAAAGGCGATTTAATATAAGGATTTGACCTCATCGTTTGTCTATTGTCTTTGAACCTCGATGCCATCGATCATACCCAGACCGGAAATTTTCATTATCGTCAAAGACGTCGAAAGTCTGAGAAACATACCAAATAAAAAGTGAGCGAGGAGGTTTAACTTTTCTAGGGGACGTATACGGTTTTGAAATGTATTTAAATAGGGCGTCCTCATTACTACAATTGAAGTCTGCGTTAATTTCAATTTTAGAATTGTTTTTACTAATTGTCAAGGAAGTCAGCAATTATGGAATACCCATTTCCGCTTCATGCTTTCAGTTCATTTTCCAACCATTTGATTTGTCAGATACTATTTTGGCGAGTCTGGCGACAATGTCACGCACTTCTAGCCAATCACGTCGATCGAACGACATACTTTGGTCACGGGGTTGGCATCATAACTAATTCCTTTCATTCCTAAACACAAATCAGATGTTTGTTTCTATTTATGAAATGGTACCCACTGAAATGATCTGTTAGGAAGGCATTTCTTCAAGGCTCCCTCCAGTTGAGGGATAAATAATTATGGTGAGATCTATATGCAGTAGGGATTTGAATTTATCATCGAGTCTTCGACATCTGAGGTCATTGTTTCTCCTTTCCTATCTCGTCTCTGCATGTTTAGGTAATGGAGACTCCGCTAGATGTACTGTCAAGAGCCGCTTCCTTAGTGCAGCCTGACACAAGGGAAAGTAAGTTTGATGAATATCGATTCTGTCTCACATCTTTTTTGGTTTAAAGGCATGTACACATGCTTTTACAGGTTTATTCTTGGCGTTTACGTGAAGGTATTTGCTACATGCGAAGACCATGTGTGTACAGATATTTGTGTTCAAGTTCTCTGCGACATTAATATTACTGCACCAAAAAGGCAAAATTTTCTGCCATTTCTTCAGCTTCCATCGATAAAATGATTTTTACGTGAAACACTCAGCAGTATATTTATAGCATATAGTTTTGTTATGCTCGGTATGAACAATTTCTCGTTATGCCAATAAACAAAAAAATCCAAATTCGACACCGTCATATTGTACTATTAGACGGTCCAAAGAAGAAGGAAAAGCAATACAACGAGATTTTGTTGTTTAAACTGTACACGGCTTAGCTCGTGTTGATTTCTGTGGACTACTTGTTTCCATTAAGAACCATTTAGTTACAGAACTGTTATGAAAGAGTGGGCACGTTGCTTGCATCACTAACATTCCGTGCAAATTTCTGGGCTATTATATAGAGTAAGACAATTCTTTGGTTGCTAAACGGTTATTACGTTACGGCGTCGTGCTTCTTGTCTGTCAGTGGTCAACTTTTGTAGAAAAAGAAAAGTTTTTAAGATGAGTTTTTCCTCTATTTATTGAGGATGGTGAGAGGAATCTCTGTGGACATGAAGAAAGGTCGAAAGAATGTTCTGCTTGCTTTTACGAACCGATGCCTGCTGGCAAACGTGCTTGATTGAATTCTTTAAAATCTTAATTCTAGAAGCAGAGACGGACGCAGGTGAGGAATCACCAAAGGTGATGCCTTCAGCAGAAAACAGAAGAAAACGAAATCTTGAAAGACGAGACATTTCTCAAGCGTTGAATTTTGATGACGGCCGTCTTGAAAAACTCTCGTCGGTGAAGACAGCGGGAACACAAACGTAAGTATTACCTCCAATTTTGTGAACTTATGCCTTTTGGCGGGGTTCAGCTTTGGGGTCTAGTAATTGTCTTGAAATACTTTGTCGTAACTTTTTACAAAACTGTCATTTTAGTCATAGATTCAGAAATTGTTATATTTACTTCGAATGTTTTATCATAATTTTTGATTTACGGATTGTGTAATCACAATATTCTCGGAAAAGTGCAAACATGTAATTTCATGTTTAGTTGTTGAGGAGAAAAGCAAACCGAATCTATAACACAGTACCACCGGTAATGGTTCTTCCATGTGATTTTTTTACGTCCTTAAGTTGAAATTGGAAGAAAGCTGAAAGATAATTTGCATTGTATTCGAGACAATATTTTCTGTGTCGGAATGTTACAAGATAACTTATAAGCAATAAACTGGCTTCCAGGTTAAAGTTCTTGTCATTCAACTTCGAGGAGTGATTCGGTATTCTTGTCAGGAGAAGTATTCTAACACAGATTTAATGAACGTAAAAGTTATTTTCTCAAAACTCATGATGTCGGAGAGAAACTGTAATAATTAACAGACTTTCCTAATGAACAGCTTCACTCGTGTTGGTGATACGTTGAAAGCCAATCAAGCCCCATTACAAACTGTGTATTTACACATTCTCATTAGTGGACATTCCCAATAGCAGTAATAGGACACCTACACAGACTTTACCTTTCTCATTTTACTAGTGTGAGCTGACCTGAATAAAGTAAACTGCATCCCTTAAATCTGTAGCAGTCAGATAGGAAACTTGAATAATTGGAAGCTTTTAGATAGATCAAACACCTCTTACTCTTGTCCTTAGTGTCATGTCCATAATCTGATCTGAATATTGTGAGTTGAGCATGCTTGGGAGTTTATAGAATACTGTACCCTGACTGTGAGGATAATCCAGCAAAATACTTGTAACCTTGAACACAAGATCATTGTAGCAAGCATTCCAATCACTCTTAAAACCACAAATTATGAAATATTACTTTCAGAAGCCTGACAGCAAATTAACATAATTTATGTTTACACATCTCCAATGTGACCAAATATTGCACGACCCATTCTAATATTCTATTTTCAATCTAATATTTGTTTCATCAGTGGGCCTAGTATGAATAAACCAGCAGCTCATGCCCTACCTGTATGAATCAGTCAGCTAGGGTTCTCTCATTACTTTGTGGCACTGAATTTTAAATTTTGAGATATCTTTTGAATTTTTGTCATTTTTGCTGATTGTAGCCTTATTTTTTTAAAAACATCTCTACATTAAACCTGGTTTTCTAAGTTGGGGCTTCTTTATGAGTGTCACTTAAACTTTTACCCTTAGTTTGAACTATTAATTTCATTTTATTTGGGTATGGTTATGAAGGTGTAGATGTTACTATTGTCTGGTGATTGGTTGGGTTACCCAAAATATGAATTGCATTTTGATTAGAGGATGAAATTAAACAATACTGAGTACTAACTTTTAGTATCAAAATGCAGGGGGACTGTCATCTAGTTTTAGTTGACTCTGTATTGATTATGGTCTTTGCAGGTCTCCATTAAACCCAGTGGCCACTACAAAATCAAGAATTGATTCTGGGCCCCCTCCTCTCATCTCAATTGTTCCAAAACCAGAAGACTCTGGATACATGCACTCTCATCTTCCTCCACACTCCCGGCCATCTGTAATCACATCCACCAATATTATTCGCAGGCCAGTTGGTTTTATGGCTCCATCTCACCTTTATGGTCCTACAGAAATGTTTTGTTACCCAGGTCCTCACAGACGCGAAATTGTGGAATCAGGAATCATTGATCCTTTTGTTGAAGAACACTTTCGTCGTAGCCTTGGTGATGACTACAAATGTGTCAGCCCAACAGCAATGTCTACAGCAGGTTCAGTTGATGACCATTTCGCAAAGGCTCTTGGAGACACATGGCAGAAATTAAAAAAACCTGAAGTATCAACTCAGTCTTCAAATCCACCTCAACTGCAATCAATTGTGTCACCTGCTAACTAGCTCTGTATTTTTTATATGTATTTTCTTAAGTATGTACTAGGGTTTATCATGTAGTGGTTCTGTGTCCTTGTCCTAATGCTATGTATCACAAATTCATTGCATGCATGATTTGTCAATTCTAGCATTAACATTAATTCATGATTTCCTTTTTGTAAGTCTGAACTTTTGCAGACTTTCAAGCTGATGAAATTATCAATAGGCTTACTTTAATTTGTGAAGATAAATCATTTTAAATGTATCCATTATTTGTTGAAAACTTGTGTTATTTAGCTATGGCATAAGGGCTTGCAATGATGCAATCCATGCATGAACATGTGCTATGTACATGTTTAGTTTTCTCAGCTGATTTGTACTGTGCATGTCACCTCAGGTATTGTGAATGTTAAGGTCCACATGCATATTTAATGAGCAGTTTAGAAATTAAGAATTTCTAAAGGCATTACTTATGATCTTCAAGAACAGCAACTATGTTTAAGCTCATTTTCTGAGTTAATTTATGAGTGAATGAATCTCCAATTCATGTAACTGTTTCTACTCACTATTACAGTCACTTAGAAGCAAATGCAGGAATAGTTTTTTCCTTAGATTTCTTGCATCATTGAAGTGAGTTATATGTTGAAAGTCATTTACCAAAGGCAATTAACTCAATTAATCCTCTAACTCAATTAAAAAAAATTGTGTTTAAAACCTTTGTAATCCATTCATTACTTTTGTAATAGTAGTTTTTAATTTATTTTTTAACAAATATTTTGTCAGATATGATGATGTAGAGTAGAGAAGTTCACAAACAACCTAGATCTCTCTTTAGTCAAACTTATAATACTAAGGCATGTCGTCAACATCATCAAGGAAGTTTATAATGACATGTCATTAAGAAAAGGTCTGCAGACCCTTTTGTTAGTTTGATTTTGAAATGTTTGCTTTTTTATAACAATGGACAGGAGCTAATTTGTCAGGTTGAAATTTTTTTGTTCTTGTCAATTATGAGAAAGGTTCTTTAGGGCACGTCTTGGTAAGAGGATGTTTGTTTTGCACGTTGTAGACACAGAGAAAATCAAATTGTTGAATATTGTTTAAATGTATCATTTTAGGCATGGATTGATGGGTCTGAGATATTTGGTGTTGGGGCAAGCAGTTTGATAAATTTTAATTGAAATAGTGAGCTAAGAGGTAATTGTAAATATAGTGTGTACACAAGAGCTATTTAATATATTGTGTAGTAATGTAAATATCAACAAGGTTGCTGAGAACTTCATTAAACTTGATTGACACCATCAACTGCTTTTTTAATTGTTTCTTTCTTTTCTAAGAAAAGAACTAAGAAAAGAAGCGTTGATTGATAATTCTATCCAAGAGTGGTGTGGTATTTTCAGATACTGTTTTTTGTAAGTTTGAAGTGTTTGAAAAGATTGAGTACTCTTTTTCTTAGCTATTTAGGTCAAGTCTTGTGGAGTATTTCCTTAAAAATATAAAATATTCTATTCTTGACAGACATGGATTTACCATAAACTATAATGCATACGTTACAGTGGAATCTTTGCTTCTTCTTAATCTCCAGGCAAAATAGATTAGTTGGCAATATTAGAGGTTAAAAAAGTTTAGGAGGTAAAACAGTAATGTTTGATGCATGAAAAAAGTCTGGTTCAAATTATTGAAAGTTTTGAGAAACCAAGAATTTGTTAAATCAGGATTGCAAGATGTACTCAACCTTGGTCCTGTCCATTGTTCTGTAAGAGATTCTCCCTCCTTTTAGATGTACTCAACCTTGGTCCTGTCCATTGTTCTGTAAGAGATTCTCGCTCCTTTTAGGCAGTGATAAGAAGAGACTTTACAGATTTGCTGTTTGCCCATAAGTGGTTTAGAATAACCCTAAATATTAATGAAACATGAGAATGGTTTGCCATGGTTTGGTCACTGACTTGAAACTCAGACCTCAGACCTACCTTCCCTTAAATAATATCCTGACATCCTATCAGTGAAATCAATGATCAATGACATATGATAAAATCCCAATAATTATCCTTTAATCCCGAAGATTGAAAGAACTGACCAAATAAGAGACACTGAGAATCGTTCAGTAATCAGGAGAATGAAATAATGATATTTTGATGATGATAACGTACACACTGAGTGTGCAAAGAGACGCTATTCTCAAACCAATTTCAATTTCAGTTTTTCCCAACTTGTGCGTATGCACTGGAGACGAGAGTTTTTGCCGCCATGTTTGAAAACAGACAAGATGGCGGAACTGTCACATGAAGAGTTCAAGAAGAATCTCTTTACAACTTTCCGAAGCCGCGGAGTACTGGAGGCCCTGAAGGTGAGCTTGAATGTAAAATATCTCTGGAAATTTGAGGTTTATAACTTGAAGCATAGTTTTACAAATGATACCTTCGGCGTACTCCCCTGGTGCGAATAGCGTAAGAAAGTTTGGAGTTAATCCTGCAGAATTTATCAATGGATTCTTTCTAACAGTTACAACCTTCATGCAAATGCACTGATATCTGAACAAAAATCCCTATACACTGAATCTAGCTACTGTATATTAGAGCTAGTTCTTGAAATATAATTTTAAAGCCTTTTTAATGAACTCTTGTGCCAATTGGTGGGGATTTCTGCAGCACCTAACTTACCACGGGTATGAGAACCTGCACTGTACATTCATTCATTCATTCATTCATTCATTCTTTTATTTACACTTATTCTACTAAAAATACAACAACGAGAAAGAGAACAAGTAGAAAAAAAAGAAAAGAAGAGAGTTCTAACTTATACATGAATTTACACAAAGCAGTGGAAAGAGTGTGTAGTAGCCAAAGGAGCCAAGCTTTCGAGTTGGCCACTACCAGAGAGCAGTTACAGATGGGTGAAAGTTAAATACACTTAAGGAGATAGCACATATACTAAATAGTTAAAATAGTAAAATAGAGCTCTATGATAGGTTAAAGTTGTTTAAGATGTCTGCCTGCCAAGTAGGAAGAGTTTATATTCTTTTTTAAAGCTTTTGGCAGGGAGACACTTTATTTTAATAGGTATCGTTTGCCAGATCTGTGATGCCACCACACTAAATCTTGCTAGACCATAATTGGTTCTAGAGAATGGTCTGTACAAGTTTTGATTAGTGGCATACCTTGTAGAGTAATTATGGACAGCTGAAGCTGGTTGGGCTAGATCATAGAGGACTGGAGGTATATTCTTTTTTTGATATTGAATTTTATACACAAGAGAGCCAATTTTTAATTTAAGAATATTCTCTAATCTTAAGATTTCTAATAGTGTGAAATATGGTGTAGAACTTTCTCTTTTGCTCGCAAATAAGATGCTGTGGATACCATTGTTTTGACTTATTTTGATTTTATTTAACCTGGTTTGGTATGCAGTTCCCCAGCACATCAATCCATATGTTAGATATGGATATATGACAGTATAGTACAGTTGTTTGAGTGTGCTCACAGGTAAATAATGTTTAAGCTTAGATAGAATTCTGATGTTTTTTGTTATTTTATTGTTTATGTGCTGGAGCTGAGCATCCCATTTTAAATTTTTATCAATAAAAACCCCCAAATATTTTATCTGAGATCTTTGTTCTATATTGCAAGCTGTTATTCTGATATTTGTTCTCTTTTTAAGTGAAGTAATAATCATATAATTAGTCTTCTTGAAATTAATTGACAGCATATTTGCTGCACAGTATTTTAAGACCTTTCTAAGTTCTTCATCAATAACTGATTGGAGCTGCTCAGGGTCTTTTGAAGAATAAAACATATTTGTATCATCTGCAAAAATCCTAAAAGTTAATTTCTCTGAAGACCTAGGCAAATCGTTAATATACAACAGAAACAGCAACGGACCTAGTGTGGAGCCTTGGGGTACACCACAT